CGTCACGTGTCCACTGTTCAGGTCCCACACCACACGTCACGTGTCCACTGTTCAGGACCCACACCACACGTCACGTGTCCACTGTTCAGGTCCCACACCACACGTCACGTGTCCACTGTTCAGGACCCACACCACACGTCACGTGTCCACTGTTCAGGTCCCACACCACACGTCACGTGTCCACTGTTCAGGTCCCACACCACACGTCACGTGTCCACTGTTCAGGTCCCACACCACACGTCACGTGTCCACTGTTCAGGACCCACACCACACGTCACGTGTCCACTGTTCAGGTCCCACACCACACGTCACGTGTCCACTGTTCAGGTCCCACACCACACGTCACGTGTCCTTCTCTCTGGCTTCGTCACCGTGTGAGTGGCTCCCCCGCACGTGGTGGCTGGTGAAGATCACCACGTGACACAGCTGGTGATGGCCTGTGACGTCATCACCGCCCCCCCTCCCTCCCACCCAACACCAATACCCCGCCGTTCGCCACGAAGCGACGGTGACGTCACCACGGCGCCCTGTGCCAGGCTAGGTGCACTTCGAAGCCAAACTCCCTCCCCCCCACCCGGTTCGCGTCAAAAACAAAAATGCCGCAATGGCCCGGAGAGCGCGTGACGTCACCCGGTCTGCAGCGCCTGATGCGTGACGTCACCCCGCTGCAGCGGCCGATGCGTGACGTCACCCCGCTGCAGCGGCCGATGCGTGACGTCACGCCGCATGAGATGATGACGTCAGCGCGCCGGGACGTGGGCCTCTGTTTCCGGATGGCGGAGTGAGCGAGCGCCGAGCGAGAAGCAGCAGCAGCCCCCCCAGGTAGCGCGCTCGCTCGCTCGCTGTGTTTGTTGTGTACACACGGAGCGGTGGCGGAAGCGGCAATGCGGATCCGTCTAGTGCCGAGAGGGGAGAGGCATTGCCGCTGCCGCCGCTGCTGCTGTTGTTGTTGTCGTGAGTGAGTGAAGCCGCCCCCACCCGGGGCGTTCGTGCGGGCCGCGCGGCCTACCGCGCAGGCTGCGGGGACCACGCAGACGCCGGCGGCAGCTGGCGTCTGCGTGTACTGTCAGTGTGCACTGTGGCCGTGTACTGTCAGCGTGTACTGTCAGCGTGTACTGTCAGCGTGTACTGTCAGCGTGTACTGTCAGTGTGTACTGTCAGCGCCGTGTACTGTCGGCCGTGTACTGTCAGTGTGTACTGTGGCCGTGTACTGTCGGCCGTGTACTGTCAGTGTGTACTGTGGCCGTGTGCTGTGGCCGTGTACTGTCAGCGCCGTGTAATGTGGCCGTGTAATGTGGCCGTGTACTGTCAGTGTGTACTGTCAGTGTGTACTGTCAGCGCCGTGTACTGTGGCTGTGTACTGTCAGCGCCGTGTGTACTGTCGGCGTGCACTGTGGCCGTGTACTGTGGCCGTGTACTGCCGGCGTGTCGTGGGCACTGCTGTGTACTGTCGTGGTGTGTGCTGTCATTGAACCCTGTGGCACAGCAGCCGTGTGTACTGCCAGATTGTACGGTGGTGTGTAGTGTAATGTCATGTACGTGTGACGTCATTCGTGCTGTCATCAGTGCTGCCTTGTGTTGGAGTGGGTACCCTCATTGTACTGTCGTCATTGTGAACTGTGTGGTGTGTGTACTGCCATTGAATCCTGTCCACCTACACATGCTACTGTCAGTGTACTGTGTGTACTGCCAGTGTGTATTGTCATCTCTAACGTGTGATGTGATTAGTGCTGTCATCAGTAATACAGTATGTACTGTCATGACGTAGTGTAGCCTATACTGTCAGTGTGTCATATCGGTGCTGTCATTCCTATTGTGTGTGATGGAGTTACTGTATTTAACATCTATTTTGACCACGTAGGTCGCGAAGCATTCAATAGCTGTACCGGAGGAATTTCCATCTGGTACAGATACAATGGGAGGCTGATCGATGCCCGGATGCGGTCAAGGGATGGCTCCCTATTAGTCAACCACGTTATGTATGCCGATGATCTGGTTATTGCTGCTCATTCAGAAGAGGAGTTGGAGGCGCTGCTGCTGAAACTGGAGCGTGCCACTAAGAGGTGGGGCCTTACTATCAGCCCCACCAAAACTAAGCACCTGCCTGGGTATTTTGTACCATCGGACACTCCACCCCCATAACTCCCAATCGGTGATGGGGCAGTTGTGGAGAGAGTGGAGAGTTTCCCATACTTTGGCAGTGTGCTCATGACCGGCTCCTGGTTTAACAGCAGAGGTCTCACTCCGAATCAGTTGAGCAGCAATATCTTTTCATCGGTTGCGTAACGCTGTGTGGAAGCTACCTGGTCTATCGCTCCGCACGAAGCTTCAGGTCTTCTAGGCCATGGTCATTCCCTCCCTTCTCTACGCTTGCGAAACGTGGGCCCCCCCAATGGAACATCTTCGCCGGTTAGAAACATTTAGGCTGGCCTGCCTACGATCCATCCTGGGTTTAACCTGCAGGCTGGATTGTGTGAGAAGCTCACAAATCTCTGAAAGATGTGGACAAAGTCCCATTGGTGAGCTCCTCCGGCAGGCAAGGCTGTGTTGGCTGGGTCATGTAACCCGCATGCCCAGCCACCGCTTTTGTTCGGCCAGATCGAGGGGGCTAAACGGGCGCGGCAAGGGCGAGAGAAGAGATGGAGTGATGTGGTACAGGAGGACGTGGAGCTGAGTGGACTTGCCGATGACTGGTACCAGCGGTGTCAAGATCGGCCTCTGTGGAGGAGGCTCGTGAAGGACGCTACTGGGCAGTTGGAGGCAGTCGCCCTCCAACAACAACGGAGGGCGGAGGAGCGACGCTCATGACAACGAGCGGAGCGCCGGGGGGCTAAAGCACAGAAAGTTGGCACAGTAGGGGGCACACGTGGTGCATCAGCCAGTCATCTCAGTCATCTCAGTCAGTTGACCCGCGGCACCTGGGTCTGCCCCGTGACCTACCAGCGGGCGTTCGACAATTCACGTGGCCTCAAGGTGCACATAGCCTGGCACAAGCATCGTGATGACATCATCGCCACTTAGTGGCGAATGGAGGTTGTTGTTGTTACTGTATGCTGTCACTCTACTGTCAGTGTACTGTCATTAGTAGAGCATAATATCCACAATTAAGTTTTTTTTTGGGTTAGATCCCATAAATATAAATGTGTCGTTAAACCCGCCACCACCCGACACGGCCAATTATTCATGGTTTGTCGCGTAAACAGAATGTGCCAACTCGTGTTACCACTTCAGCACATCGGTGTGTTGGAGGGTCGTGAACCCACAATTGATCAGTATCACAGTGTGGTTTTGTAGTCCTGTAATTATCGCACAGCATTGCCATGAATCTACAGTACTGTCATGTGCCCTGTATGTATGTTGAACTTATTTCAACATTTATGTGGAGACCCTCATCCAGCATTGGATTGACACAAGGGCTCTCCATGTACATGCTGTGTTTAAGGCATTGGAGACAAAACGTGTCTCAAACAAGACGGAATCAAGAAACAATACAAAAAGATGGTAAAAAATTAGGCAAAAGTAATGTATTTTTGATTGAATCGCATCCCTGATTTACTAGGCGTCATCGTGTCAAGGTCACACGACAGAATAATTCCCCTGGCACATGCGGGTATATATAAGAGATCTGCCGTCTGAAACGTGAGCCTCATTAGTTTCCAAGCGAATTGAGTCTCTCCCCGATATCTTTAGCAACACGTATGATGAGTATTGCTCACGCAGCGACCACGCGTCATGCCGCATGAACCACGAGGAGGACATTGCCATTATGATAATGTACTTCTTGCTTTAAGTTTGAAATTTATTTAAATTTGCGTGCGGTGTGTTCACTGCAAGTCCACGAGACGTGGCAACGACTGGGGGGGGGGGGAGGGGAAAAAACATCATCCAACAGTGGCTGATGATGGGATTTTTAAAAATGAAATTACGGAATGGTTCTGTTCTACAGAGGTTCAATGTTCTGTTAACTACTGCTCGCTGATTTGAAATTCCGTACGGACACGTCAAATATTTATTTCTACGATTTTCTCCAGGAGAAAAATCGTTCCAATCAGAATGGACATCGCTTGTAATTGCAGTCTCCATTGCAAATGCCAGCTCAGTATTTTGTGATCCTTGACGTAATCGAGCAATGTCACTGCTGTTCCTTCTCATCAAAGCCTGTGTGCTGTGCGGAACATTATTTTATTATGACTTTACATGAATATTTCCTTGTGGCAAGTCGTGACGAATGCCACGGCAAAGTCGGATTTACCAGTAGTACTGATTGCACCATGTCAAGGTATTTTACTGGTAGGAACCTCCTGGTTACACCAGCCCACGGGATTATTGTGTCCGTCCGTCGTGCATCCAAAAATGGGAGGGGTGGGGCTGGGTGGAGAGGGGAGGGTGGGGAGGGGCTGGGTGGGGAGGGGCTGGGTGGGGAGGGGCTGGGTGGGGAGGGTGGAGAGGGGCTGGGTGGAGCGGGGTGGGAGGGGTGGGGCTGGGTGGGGAGGGGCTGGTCACCCGTGGTGCCCTTATAAAACTCAACGTTTAACCTACTCACGACGGCTTGTGCCTGCCCTCACAGTCGGGCATATTTGCGGAATACACTACGCCGCCGTTGACCCTGCAGGCCATTGACCGAGCAACCCAACGTTCCTACCAGCTCCCTCCGCAGGAATGTGTTTGCTAGGGCATCCCTGATGCAGTTCCGTGCCTAGTCCAGCCCCCTCAGGACATTTTACTTGCTCAGGGAAAGCTCTTCTAGCGCGCGTGTGATTAGGAAAACTCTTGAGACTTAATGCCGCTGAAAGACTTTTAATGCCGAATTACGAACTGGCCGTCTGATCCGTTCGCACGGAGGAAAAAGCGGCTCTGCACGTGCGCGTCGCGATGCGCCGTTTCATTTCCTGCATTTCAACAGGAGCCATTTGGTGCCCTCCGTGGCACGGCATCTCGCGGCCACTTGGGAGCCAACTGCCGCAATTATTACGCGGACTCTTCTTTTCGGACGTTCGGAGAAAACCTGTCGACCAACCGTTGGGGCCCACCACGGTTGCCGTAATTGATAAAATATCATCTTGCTGGCAAGGGCCTTCCGTGGCAAGCCTCGGAAACAAGATGCGGTGCTGCCGATGCCACGGAGCGAAGCGTTGTTATCGTGGTGGGGAATCTGCTGTGTTTGCGGTCTCGCTGTGGTCACCGTTTTTCAGCACGACATGTGACCGTGCAGCTCTTGTGGGATTTTTCCATTGAACTCCGTGGGCGTGTGCGTGCGTGTGTTTTTGAACTCCGTGCGCGTGCGTGTGTGTGTTGAACCCCGTGTGCGTGCGTGTGTTGTTGAACTCCGTGTGTGTGCGTGTGTTGTTGAACTCCGTGTGTGTGCGTGTGTTGTTGAACTCCGTGTGTGTGCGTGTGTTTTTGAACTCCGTGTGCGTGCGTGTGTTTTTGAACTCCGTGTGTGTGCGTGTGTTTTTGAACTCCGTGTGCGTGCGTGTGTTGTTGAACTCCGTGTGCGTGCGTGTGTTGTTGAACTCCGTGTGTGTGCGTGTGTTGTTGAACTCCGTGTGCGTGCGTGTGTTGTTGAACTCCGTGTGCGTGCGTGTGTTTTTGAACTCCGTGTGCGTGCGTGTGTTTTTGAACTCCGTGTGCGTGCGTGTGTTGTTGAACTCCGTGTGCGTGCGTGTGTTGTTGAACTCCGTGTGCGTGCGTGTGTTTTTTGAACTCCGTGTGCGTGCGTGTGTTGTTGAACTCCGTGTGCGTGCGTGTGTTTTTGAACTCCGTGTGTGTGCGTGTGTTTTTGAACTCCGTGTGCGTGCGTGTGTTGTTGAACTCCGTGTGCGTGCGTGTGTTTTTGAACTCCGTGTGCGTGCGTGTGTTTTTGAACTCCGTGTGCGTGCGTGTGTTGTTGAACTCCGTGTGCGTGCGTGTGTTGTTGAACTCCGTGTGCGTGCGTGTGTTTTTGAACTCCGTGTGCGTGCGTGTGTTGTTGAACTCCGTGTGCGTGCGTGTGTTTTTGAACTCCGTGTGTGTGCGTGTGTTTTTGAACTCCGTGTGCGTGCGTGTGTTGTTGAACTCCGTGTGCGTGCGTGTGTTTTGAACTCCGTGTGCGTGCGTGTGTTTTGAACTCCGTGTGCGTGCGTGTGTTGTTGAACTCCGTGTGCGTGCGTGTGTTGTTGAACTCCGTGTGCGTGCGTGTGTTTTTGAACTCCGTGTGCGTGCGTGTGTTTTGAACTCCGTGTGCGTGCGTGTGTTGTTGAACTCCGTGTGCGTGCGTGTGTTGTTGAACTCCGTGTGCGTGCGTGTGTTGTTGAACTCCGTGTGTGTGCGTGTGTTTTTGAACTCCGTGTGCGTGCGTGTGTTTTTGAACTCCGTGTGTGTGCGTGTGTTGTTGAACTCCGTGTGCGTGCGTGTGTTGTTGAACTCCGTGTGCGTGCGTGTGTTGTTGAACTCCGTGTGCGTGCGTGTGTTTTTGAACTCCGTGTGTGTGCGTGTGTTTTTGAACTCCGTGTGCGTGCGTGTGTTTTTGAACTCCGTGTGCGTGCGTGTGTTGTTGAACTCCGTGTGTGTGCGTGTGTTGTTGAACTCCGTGTGTGTGCGTGTGTTGTTGAACTCCGTGTGCGTGCGTGTGTTGTTGAACTCCGTGTGCGTGCGTGTGTTGTTGAACTCCGTGTGCGTGCGTGTGTTTTTGAACTCCGTGTGTGTGCGTGTGTTTTTGAACTCCGTGTGCGTGCGTGTGTTTTTGAACTCCGTGTGCGTGCGTGTGTTGTTGAACTCCGTGTGCGTGCGTGTGTTGTTGAACTCCGTGTGCGTGCGTGTGTTTTTGAACTCCGTGTGCGTGCGTGTGTTGTTGAACTCCGTGTGCGTGCGTGTGTTGTTGAACTCCGTGTGCGTGCGTGTGTTTTTGAACTCCGTGTGTGTGCGTGTGTTGTTGAACTCCGTGTGTGTGCGTGTGTTGTTGAACTCCGTGTGCGTGCGTGTGTTGTTGAACTCCGTGTGCGTGCGTGTGTTGTTGAACTCCGTGTGTGTGCGTGTGTTTTTGAACTCCGTGTGCGTGCGTGTGTTGTTGAACTCCGTGTGCGTGCGTGTGTTGTTGAACTCCGTGTGCGTGCGTGTGTTTTTGAACTCCGTGTGCGTGCGTGTGTTTTTGAACTCCGTGTGCGTGCGTGTGTTGTTGAACTCCGTGTGTGTGCGTGTGTTGTTGAACTCCGTGTGTGTGCGTGTGTTGTTGAACTCCGTGTGCGTGCGTGTGTTGTTGAACTCCGTGTGCGTGCGTGTGTTGTTGAACTCCGTGTGCGTGCGTGTGTTTTTGAACTCCGTGTGCGTGCGTGTGTTTTGAACTCCGTGTGCGTGCGTGTGTTGTTGAACTCCGTGTGCGTGCGTGTGTTGTTGAACTCCGTGTGCGTGCGTGTGTTGTTGAACTCCGTGTGCGTGCGTGTGTTTTGAACTCCGTGTGCGTGCGTGTGTTTTGAACTCCGTGTGCGTGCGTGTGTTGTTGAACTCCGTGTGCGTGCGTGTGTTGTTGAACTCCGTGTGCGTGCGTGTGTTGTTGAACTCCGTGTGCGTGCGTGTGTTTTTGAACTCCGTGTGCGTGCGTGTGTTGTTGAACTCCGTGTGCGTGCGTGTGTTGTTGAACTCCGTGTGCGTGCGTGTGTTGTTGAACTCCGTGTGCGTGCGTGTGTTTTTGAACTCCGTGTGCGTGCGTGTGTTTTTGAACTCCGTGTGCGTGCGTGTGTTGTTGAACTCCGTGTGTGTGCGTGTGTTGTTGAACTCCGTGTGTGTGCGTGTGTTGTTGAACTCCGTGTGCGTGCGTGTGTTGTTGAACTCCGTGTGCGTGCGTGTGTTGTTGAACTCCGTGTGTGTGCGTGTGTTTTTGAACTCCGTGTGTGTGCGTGTGTTGTTGAACTCCGTGTGTGTGCGTGTGTTGTTGAACTCCGTGTGCGTGCGTGTGTTTTGAACTCCGTGTGCGTGCGTGTGTTGTTGAACTCCGTGTGTGTGCGTGTGTTTTTGAACTCCGTGTGTGTGCGTGTGTTGTTGAACTCCGTGTGTGTGCGTGTGTTTTTGAACTCCGTGTGCGTGCGTGTGTTGTTGAACTCCGTGTGTGTGCGTGTGTTGTTGAACTCCGTGTGCGTGCGTGTGTTTTTGAACTCCGTGTGCGTGCGTGTGTTGTTGAACTCCGTGTGTGTGCGTGTGTTTTTGAACTCCGTGTGTGTGCGTGTGTTTTTGAACTCCGTGTGTGTGCGTGTGTTGTTGAACTCCGTGTGTGTGCGTGTGTTTTTGAACTCCGTGTGCGTGCGTGTGTTGTTGAACTCCGTGTGTGTGCGTGTGTTTTTGAACTCCGTGTGTGTGCGTGTGTTGTTGAACTCCGTGTGCGTGCGTGTGTTTTTGAACTCCGTGTGCGTGCGTGTGTTGTTGAACTCCGTGTGTGTGCGTGTGTTTTTGAACTCCGTGTGTGTGCGTGTGTTTTTGAACTCCGTGTGTGTGCGTGTGTTGTTGAACTCCGTGTGTGTGCGTGTGTTTTTGAACTCCGTGTGCGTGCGTGTGTTGTTGAACTCCGTGTGTGTGCGTGTGTTTTTGAACTCCGTGTGTGTGCGTGTGTTGTTGAACTCCGTGTGCGCGTGGTTGTTGTTACCGAGCGGTGGTGCAGCGGCTAGCGCCACGCTGCGCTACGAACCCGGCGACCCGGATTCGATTCCCGCTCACGGCCAACGCTAGGGACGATTATCTGAACCGGTCCTGCGCCTCTGCTAGGTCGACTCGGCCTCAAATGAGTACCTGGTACGGTGTGTAAACATCACCACTGGGGAGACAAAGGCGGCCGGGTGTGGTGTTGGCCACCTACCCCCTCGCGTGCCGTGCCGGCCTTCAGAGGTGCTGCTCCTCGCTAACAGCACTTGCCCCGACAGTCTGTTAAGCCTACACGGGATGCTGCTGCACCTGGTGAACGTCTGTCACACCCGGTACCTAGGCCGAGCGTTGCTAATCGGAGGCGCATCCAACAACGGTGACCCCCCCTCCCCGCCGCAAATGCGTCGCCTCGCAGAAGCATTTGCACCGGACTGTAACGCGAAATCGTGACGAGCCCCGGATAAACCCGCCATCTTAAGCCGTTGAGGAGGGGGTAGCCGCTCGCGTTTGTCACCATTTAAATGAAGGGACGAGCACAGATGCAAGGTGTGCCACTTCATCGCGGTGCTTGGCACAAACAAAAACAACACATGAACATTGATGGACGCGTGAAACGCCGGGGCAGTCGGGCAGCCGACTTGGCACGTGACGATGCAGTGTCTCTGGTGGCTGTGCGAAGGCTGACCACCACCGTCGCCACCGCTGCTGCTGCTGCTGCAAGCGGAATTCGTCTCGGCAAAAGGATCGCGGTGTGGAGAGATTCTCTGGCAACAAAAAAAACCGGCGCGGCCTTTTTGGTCCCCGCACGCTCACAGGTGATCATATTTGTTTAGGGCTGAGCAGGCAAATTAAAGCGAGCCTCGCCTGCCTGCGGTCAGGATATTTGATTGGTTTAAGAAGATTAAAACCCTCTGTGTTCCTTGTCCACTCAACACAAGGGCACCGGCATTTCATTATTGGATTACATGCGGTACTCTTATGGAAATAAATATTTTTAAAATCTAATACTTGTATCATTGTAAAATAAGCAGCGTGTAATGCTCTATGATATCAGGCTTATGTTGACTAAAAGCAAAGGAGAAAGTCCCTTCACTTTCTATTGGCGGTGCTTGTATGTGATGTCACCGGTTAGGTTAATGTATCACTGGTCAGGGTGACGAGTCACTGGTTAGGGTGACGTGTCACTGGTTAGGGTGACGAGTCACTGGTTAGGGTGATGTGTCACCGGTTAGGGTGATGTGTCACTGGTCAGGGTGACACTGGTTTGGGTGACGAGTCACTGGTTAGGTTCACATCTTTCCAGCAAGCTTAGGCAAGCAGTAAACGACGTTGCCCATCAGCTGTGCATATGCACCAACAGGAACATGCGATAATGTGAGGTGCATTTGCACTTACTGTTTACACAGTGCAGGGTGCAAGACACTACGTAGTTAACGAAGCACACGCTGCTAAAGCGTGCACAGAGAGACTGACGCTGTGAAACATGCGCGTAGATGCCGCGGTGACACCGTGTGTGTGTGTGTAGGTCGAAGACCATTTTACAAATCTCACCTCCGGGTGTGTTTGCTGAATCACTGCGTGTGGCTCCGGCGAGCACACGAGGGAAATAATCGTTTGTTCCCCTGTGACTCAGAATGTAAAATGTTTCTGGCCACTTTTCGTGGCGTTACAATGCCGATGCTTCTTCACTCGACTGGCTGGACCTGTACATCTGGCGCTCTGCGTCTGTTGCTACTTTACCAATCGCCTGCGACTCGGAGCTCCTGACGCTCGCTCAGTGCTGTCAGAAGTGTCACCGTGAGAGTACGCGTTGTGCAGCGGCGGTTATCTATTCGTTGGTCATTGATAATTTTGTCGTGGAACATTGCGAATGTTGTTAGGTACGCTGGGTTATTACATCACGGCCTATTAAAACGTGAACCCACGTGGGAAAACATTGACACAACACTTACTCCCTATCATGTTCGATCTGTGCCTGCCAGAGAAGGTGGCTGGCTCAGAGATTCGTTTGTAGAATGCAGAATTATGAGACGGCCACATATGCAGCTAATTGTAAAGCATGCCTTGATGTGGGTATCCACAATATATTGCCATTCTACACAGTTCTGCATCGTTGCAGTCCATTGAATCTCTGCGTTTTGAACAAACGTCATCATTCTGTGTCTGCGTGCCCACGCGCCTTTGGCTGCCATTCTGTCGCCAGTCTTGTCCACCTGGCATCATCCCTTCTTGCGACAAACTCTTCTGCCGAAGCCTGCGCACCATTCTGATCGGCCATTGCGTCGTTTGATTTGTGTGTCTTTCCCGATTCGTTTGTCCGTGTTCGCATCTCTGAGAGGAATTTTGAGTGTGCATCTCTCCACGCATTTTTGTGAGCATTTTTTTCTCTTCAGATTTCGTTCAATTTTCTTCGAGTATCCACGTTTTCGCTGCGTGTTTAATATCCACCGTTGTCCACTGACTGCAAAGTGCATTCGTCAGCCGCGTTGGTGCTGTTCGTAGTCATGTCCAGATTCCCAAGGGGACCCCTCTTGGAAGCCTCTTTGTTTCATTATTAACTCTTAAACCTGCCGCCTCCAACGTTTGCGCTCGCAATATACATTCTCTGTGTTTTTGTTGTGACCATGGAACATTATCTTTTATTTACTTCGATGCAATGGGTTGCACATTATGTCGTTCTGCTCCCATATTTATTTTGAGTCAGGATTTGCAGCCTTACATAATCCTTTCCTGTAGATCACTTCCATTGGTTGATACAGCGACTTGTATGCACACGTCAGATGGCTTCTACTTAATTTTTTGAAATTTACACCTTCATTTGTCAGTATAATTTAGTGAATATAGTTTGGAATGTTGTGCTGAATAGCCTTGATGAGAGCATAGTAAATGCCCTTGGGTGACTCGAATTACCATTTCGGTTTTGCTGCTCTTTCCTCGGTAAATGGGTTCGATAATTTAATTCCACCGAAGAGCGTACACATGATTGACTCGCGCCTTAGCAGCACGACAAGCGGCAGAGCTCCTTGGTCACACGGAATGACGCAGGGTCGTACAGAATTATGGGCACGGTTTCGCGATGTCAAAAATGGTGATGCTGTGCAAAGGGCCTGTCCCTGGTAATAGGAATGTAGACGCTGCCCGTCGAGATGGATACCACCGCGGCGCTCCGAGCGCGGAGACATTTTAACTCGTGGGCGATTGCAGCTGGCGTGTGAAGTGTTAAGGGGCTTGTTGTGTCAATGTGGAGCGTGAAGAGGGAATTTTTTTTTTTACATTCCTAACAGAGGTGGGATTATGTTTTCAAGGTTGGCCTGCTTGGAGGACGTTTACTTTCTGCCAGGAAGTGTGCACAGTGTTGATTGAAAGCGGGGGCTGTTCATTACGGAACGGCGCTGGCTGCTGTTGACGCTCGTCTGGGCTGTGTCCGAGGATGTGTTTCTGGTGTCGCTGCGTACAGTGGGGTTGGCCATTACGCTGTGGCAGCATCGGGCCCCAAGCCTTCTCGCCAAATAGCGTGGGTTGTGTTGTTATACGGTAATGGTATGGATTTCCATTACAATTAAAGCCCGTAGCGTGTACACGTAAGAAATTAAAATGTTAGAAGTGTTAGATTTTCAACACGTTGTAGCGAATATGACAAAGATGTGTTTTTGTTCACGAAATTATACCCTAATGCAGCCTGTTTTTTAAGTGGAATTTTAATCAACTCTTACGTGTTTTAAAAATTTATTAAAAATGGGAGTTATTTAGTTTTGCACACCGTCCTCGGGATATTAATGGTAATGAATTATAAAGAGGTGAGTTTGGGAAGACGCACGATTAAATTAATCATCGGGCTCCTCTTATGCATTCCATACTACGCAGGCGGGTCGTGCAAGTGCACTGTGCGGGCTTCAGTCCCCAGAAAACCATAAATATTTTATTAGGCATGATAAAGGATGGAATGTAATAATGTCTACAATGTCGGTCTGTGCTGGAGTGTCCTCTGCAGCCAGAGCTAGTCCAGAGAGTGGTTTTACATTTGTCAGGAAACAGACCTCGGCCCGGCGGCACTTGTCGTTCACGAACCTCGCTTCTAATTGCAGGACACTCCGTGGAGACGTCTCGAGCGTGCGTGCGTACGTGGCTGTTTCCGGGGGCCCTGACACAGAACCGCCACCATGGGCGAGCTTTTCCGCAGCGATGAAATGACCTTGGCTCAGCTGTTCCTGCAGTCTGAGGCCGCCTACTGCTGCGTGAGCGAGCTGGGGGAGCTGGGCATGGTGCAGTTCCGTGACGTGAGTACACCGGATGGCGCACGGGGGGGGGAACCACTTCGCGTAGCCGGAGCGCCACGTTTGTGATGGCAGAGATCCCCAGTTGTGCCTCCGATTCACGGTGCAATGTCTCAAGATCAAGATGCCGTCGTGGCCTAAGCCGTGGATGCCACCACCACCACCACCTCGTCAACGCTCTCTACGCTCGGCCAGATCCTGCAGCTGTTGAACAGTCGCCACCCGACCCTGAGAATCTGGCCGAACATGATTCCACATTTGTTTCCAAGGTCTTTTATTTTCTTTGGTCGCTGGACTCATGGAGGCCATCACAGTGCCCCATCCTGCAGATGTCCCCCCACCCAGTGCAGACGTTTTTTCCCCAGCACTCGCCTGCCATGTGCATTGCCTTTCCTTGTCTTGCCACAACATTCCCTGCATGTCTCAGCCACCCTTGCTCTGGACGGGGTATGAACCACTTCACTTTGAATGTTTCCCCAGCTAAATCACGCATCTGAACTCAAAATTCGATTGTCACGAGCACAGACGAAAATGTCTTTTGTGTCATCACATTGAGCTTGTATGAGTCCATTACACTCCTGCTATCTGGCTACAGAGTGTCCCCTGGATTGGTTTTCACAAACTTTTCTCATTTCTGCAGCTGAACCCGGACGTCAACGTCTTCCAGCGCAAGTTTGTCAACGAAGTGCGGCGATGCGAGGAGATGGAGCGGAAACTCAGTGAGCCTGATCGCCGCGCTGCACCGCATCTCCCCTTGGTTCAGTCTGCTCGTAGATGGCTCTGGTGTTCGGAACTCGTGCGCGCTTGCCCGATTGCGCCTGTTTGCTTCGCCAGGATTTGTTGAGAAGGAGATCAAGCGGGCAGACATCCAGATCATGGACAATGGTGAAAACCCCGAGGTGCCGTTTCCCAGGGACATGATCGACCTGGAGGTGAGCGTCTTTGTGTTCGACGTCATCTCGGAGAGCTCCGTGTGGTTATTTTTTAGTTTTTAACAGGTAGCAAAATTAATCTCAGGGACCCCACCTGCAGCTGTTGCTTTATTGTGGTGTGAGCCTCAACAACCCTCGCGTATCCGTGCACAGGCCACCTTTGAGAAACTGGAGAATGAGCTGAAGGAGGTGAACACGAACCAGGAGGCTCTTAAGCGCAACTTTCTGGAGCTGTCGGAGCTCAAGCACATCCTGGACAAAACTCAGCAATTCTTCGAGGAGGTGAGACACGGCTGCGCCTTTCTATTCTATTCCCATCTCACCTTTGCCTGACAGTTTTGACCGACCGATTTTGCGATGGATCGTCGCCGCGGCGGTGCAGATTATTGCCGCTCCGCCACCAGCACCACCGCCCGCTCCCACGCGCTTTTATCCGAGGTATCGATTGTCCCCCCCCCCGCACCTCCGATTAGCACGGTTAGCTACGTGCGGCGCGAAAGAAGTTCAACGTACATACATCCGCGCCGCTCGTTTTCACGGCGGGCGGAATGGCCCGTCTGTCGCCGGGTAAGAACGGAACGTGAATGCATCTGTGTTATTGTTTTAATTAAATTAGGCACGGGTGATTAACGCTCTTGTTGGGAGAGAATTCATCAGCAATTATCAAATAAAATATGGGTAAACTATTTTGGACCTTTCTTGGGCTAAGCGGAGGCTGACGGAGTGGCCCCCAGTGCGCCGTTTCAGTAACGCGCAGCCCACTCGGCAAATCACGGGGTGGGGGGTGTGGGGGGTGGGGGGTGGGGGGGGTACTTTTATAATTTGCGGTAGGCAGCGTGGGATGTTCTAAATTACACCAGTCATTACACTGATTAGAGCGCATGTACCCTCCTGCTCTATTATGGCAGGGGATGGATGGATGGAACACTTGGGCAAGCTCCGTGTCCTGCATTACACGAATAAACAATTACAGTGGATTGCCGCGTGGAATTATCGCTCCCACGGTGTCGTATATATTGCAAACGGCTATTGTTGAAAATGTCTTGAGATCTCTTTTGTCTGATTAATGCTATCTCCCCCTCCCTTTCCCAAACAAGCCCTCGTCGGGATGGAAAGCTCGGCGCTTTCATGAGAATGATTCGCCGAAGGCAGCTAAGAGTGAATGTCGCGCTGCGAGCCTTTCCTTTTCCCTTTCCCAAAGAAATCGGAGCCTGTGTCAACACCGTAAAATATTCTCACCGGCGGAGCACCTAATAGCTTTTAACACCCGCTATTGTACCGTCGGGCAGAGTACCATCCAATTTAAACACACGTGTGGGTACATCTGGTTCTGCTAATATTAGTTAAGTGAGGAAAACGAGGCTTGGACCCAAGAGGCCAAATACGTTGTAAATAGACGTAGCCAGTCTTGTGGACGAGAGAGAGGGGGGGAGAGAGAGAGAGACGCGACGGCGGATGTCGTTGCCGTTCAGCAACGCCACCCCGCTCGCATGTCTGGGGGGGAATTCAAAGGCGTAGGGTCCCTACAACAACGAGAGAGCAAGGGCCTTCATTATTCCACGGCGTGTGTGGGCTTCTGAGAGCTATCGTGCAGCACGCTCGTATGAGTTATCGATTTTATATTATCTCGTGTTTGGGCAGCTGACTGGAGCGAAGATTACAGGCATCGAAGCAGGAAATAGAGATGCGCTCGAAATTAATGCCCGTATTACTTCTGCCGTTCTTCTCAAACGCAATTGTGACTTGCCAATAGAAAAAAAATCTCAGTTTTGTGTAATTGATACAAAAAAATTGTAGTTCCTTATTTTAAAAAAATATTTGTTTGCAGTGTTTCTCAGCACTAAAATGTATTGCAAATATTGCCAGTGTGGTCATGTGCCAGCTTGATTTTTGTCAACTCCCATGTTCGGCTGTGGCGGTTTAATTTGCAACATTGGAGTGACCTGCCCAGTTCCGCTATCACGGTTCCTTCAGGGTGAGAGTGCATGGCTCGGGTTGGCTTTGAAGCCTTTCACGACTTCACCCAAACTACGGCAAGGTGTTCCACCTTAGTCCAGACTCCCAAGGACAAGGTGCCCGATGTCCCCAAAGCTGGGTACAGGCCCTGGCTGTTTATTTATTCATTTGTTAATTAAAATATTGGGCTATGGTTAATCCGGGGTTTCGATTGACACACACTTTTCAAACGTAACGACCCATATGCAAACATTTTACATCTGTAACTTGTACGAGTATGCATTTATAAAAGGAATCTCGCACTCAGCCAAATATATATATAGCGGTGGTGCACACCGCCACTTGATGTTAAATATATTCTAGTTGTCACAGTTGTAAATGCTGTGCCAGTGTTTTAATTAAAGGTGTTAATAAGGTGAGACTGGTGGCATCATATCTTAGCGTGTCGATCAGATCGTGCAGCTTCGCGTCTGACCGTTTCGGCTGTTTGGATTGGTACTCTTTAAAAAGGCCCTGGTAGTGCCCCCGTAGGCCCACTGCGTGCCTCCTGTGCGTACACTCGAACCTCTTGCTGTGGCAGAGGCTCCGATGGTTGGGGAAAGGCTCAAGGAATGGCTCGCGAGTGGAGGAGCATGCAGGACCCAGCTACACCCTGGCACACGGTCTCCAAGCCTTACACTTGCATGCAGTAGTAAAGCCTGGACATTTGTTTATTATTTTCACGTTGATTAATGATCGTTATTGGAAATAAATCTAATTGTTAATGGTTAAAAATCACATTCTGTAATGCACTGTCCCAATGGGCCACTTCCTATAATTAAGAAACATTTTTTAAGATGTGAATAATTGCTCTCGATACTTCAAGGAAAGCGCATTTTAATAAAATGTAGAGAAAAGAGCATTATCGTCAATGCAATTGTATCGCATGTATAAACACAAAATCGATGTTTATTTTTCACTTGCCGTAATAATCTTTTTACGACCAAATAAATTATTTTGACGTTTACGTAAAAATCTTTAAATGGACCACACTGCCGTTCATTTTCGTAATTTGTACCCTCCGCGTGTAAACATCTGTTCCATGGAAGAGAATCGAGACCCTTTGCTGTCGCGGCCGTGTGTACGGCTCCCCGAGTGAAGGTGGGCGTAGCCGCCCATCGTCACCGAGGGTCGATAGGTCACCGCGCCGCGGGCCGGGTCTCCCTGGGCCCTGCACGCTGCTAATGGCGTGGTTGTGGTGGCGTCGCTCCCCCCCCTTGCCTCCCCCTCCCTCCCTCCCGCCCACCCCACCCCCTCCCGTCGTCGATTGTTAATTCAGGTTGAATTGCGTCACCACCAGATGGCAGATCCAGAGCTGTTGGAGGAGTCGGCCACTCTCCTGGATCCCAGCGAGATCGGCCGCGGTGCGCCACTGCGCCTTGGGTGAGCCCCCCCCACTCGCGCCTCTCTGTGGCCGCCCTCTCCGGCTCTTTGGCCCCGAGCCCTCGTCACGCAGAGGAGGTTTCCGTAACGGTGCCTTGACGCAGAATCTCAGCCCAGCGAACCGTGCGTTGAATTACCCCTCTTCCGCTGGCACGTTCCGACCACGCCAACGCGGTTCCGTCACGACACGGGTGATTTTTCACTGGCTGTTTGCCAAACCGAGCCAGGACCAAACGATGAAATTGGCCTCACAAGACATTGAATCTGGCTCGTGGCCAAGAAGGGCGAGGTTAATTAGCACGATTGGCTACGTACGGTGTGAAAGAAGTTCTACATACATACACACACACACAGATGCCACCCACTTCTCGTAATTTTTAGCTGGGACCATGTGATTGATTGTTATGTGAGCGGCGACATTGTGCAGCGTGGGTTGATGACCCTGCAGACCCACGGTGGGGGGGGGGCGAGGGAGGGGGGGGGCGGGGGGGGAGGGGGAGAGCGGGGGAGGAGGGGGAGGGCGGGGGAGGGGGAGGGAGGGCGGGGTAGGGGGAGGGAGGGCGGGGTAGGGGGAGGGAGGGTGGGGTAGGGGGAGGGAGGGCAGGGGAGGGAGGGCGGGGCAGGCGGGTGCCTGGACCGGTGCTGGACCGGGAAGGCCTCGTGTGGCGCTCAACGTAGTCAATCAGCGAGACGTGATGGTATACACGGTGGGTGAGTGGGGGGATGATGACCAACCTGCCAGGTAATGACAACCAGGGGTACCGATAGCTAGGCAGATGTTTTTTTGCGTTACATTAAATAACGGTCGATGCATATAAAGCAGTATTTACGGTTTATCATTTATCGGCTTATGCTCTGGAAGGTGTAATCGAGCTCGCATCCAGCATGCTAACCACAGCACCACGGTGGCTCCCTTTGTTGCACGTGGGAGTGTTGAGAGCTTAGAGGAGGCGGTGTTGGATGCTTGCTGTTTTTCCCTCTTCAGGATGAAAGCAAATCCGGCAATGCGTCCGGTGCCGCCATGTTGCCGCTCCCCCGTGAACAATGGCGTTCTGGCGCGCGGCTAAACAGCGACGACGCTCTCCCTACGTGCGGCATTCACAACCGCCGTTTTGCAGAGATGCAAATCCCACCACGAGTTTATCTCCAAAGGAGTTAATTTGCATTTTAGCAATTGGCCATTTGATAACATTTGCACTTCGCTGTCCGCACGGCAGCCCAGCCGTCCGATTTGCATACCGCTGTGGGCCCTGCATAAGGGACTTGCCCCCATCTCTGCCCCTACACATCACTGAATGATCAATTGGAATCCCGATATGTTCTGTAAAAAAACGTGCGGCCATTTGGCAATTTTGATTTGAAGCTTTCGTGACTGCAGGAATCCGTACGTCCGTCATCGGGTGGGAAAGCAGCATGACGGACGCTTGTGTTGCGCCCGAAACGTCGTGATTTCATTTTATACCTCCGTGACTTTACCGAAGGAACCAAAGGGCATTTGGCAATTGTCTGCTCATCATCGCTGCCATCTTGGCTCACATTTAGGCTCTCCTGGGTTTGCATTCACCTTGGCGTTAAGTTCGCAAATGTGCGTCGTGTTTCACACTCGGCAGGTGCATTGCTCCGATGTGTCTCGTGAATTATCGTTGGTGCACGACTGTGTTTTGACAATGCGGAGTCCCACCGAGCGTGTGAGATGTATTTATAATTCCGTTGCAGCGCACCTGCTGGCAGCCAGCTCTGCTGCTCGCTCACGGACACGTTACTCACCACCACTTTCATGTCACCCGCGACTATGCTGCATTTGCTCCTCTCATTATAGGTCGGAGCAGCTTTAAGCGAGTTTTATTTTGCTAACATTCCACATAGTTGCCATTTCCACTCTGCAATCTGGCCGAGTGGTTCAGCAGTAGAGTGGGTGGCTTGCAGTGGGAAAGTCACGAGTTCAAACCCTGGTTGGTGGTTGACTCAGCCCATCATCCTTCCAGGGTGGATAAAATCGTACCACTTTGTGGATGAGTCAATAGTGGTTATCCTATGAATAGACTGTCCGCCACCATATGATTGTAATTTCCACCACCGTTTTGGCCGTAAACATGCGATGCTCATTGGAGCAGGAAATCACTTTTTGACAATCTGCACACATTCCGTAATAACCGTCGAGGCAGGGGTCACTGTTAATCCTGTGCTGGCACAATGGGCCGTTACGAGGAGAGGCTTGATTTACTGAATAATCCTTAGGAGTAATGGAACCTTGCTTAGTTAACGCTGACAACTTTTACGTACCGTACTGGGCAACATGCAGCTTCGTGATGCGCTGGGAATAATCTGTGGAGAGCGGTCTATTGTTACAATTGAGTGTTGCACACCGCTGCCGCAGACCGGTCCCCATTTAGCCACCGCCGCCGCTGCTTTTGCTGTTGTGTGTCGTTAATAGGCGCGATGTGTTGTAAGAAGCAACGTTAATTTTAGCGACGTCCGTTGTGGGCACACGAATATATAACTGTGTGTGTGGTGGAGGGTTGCGACACATTTATACTTTAAATTTTTATTTAAAGCTTTCGTGACTGCAGGGATTCATATTCTTGGTTCTTTCGGTAAAGTCACGTTGAAGGGAAATAAGAAAGTAATACAAAAATTATTTTATGATTTACTTTCTACGTGACTTTACCACGCGGACACGTCGGTGCTTGTCGGGCAGTCCCCTTTGGCCCATGGGGACGCCACGAAGCAACTGCGGCTCTCTTGCAAGAGTGACCCTGGGTTACAATGGAACGGATTTGAGTGCACAGTATTTTAAAAAGCATTTCAATGTAACAAATGTAAGCTAACTTCAACAGCAAATATGTGTATAAGGCCAAACAAAAAGGTGATGTGCACTTAAAAAAAGATCAATATGCAATGAATGCATATTAATTAATGGAAAGGCAAGCGACTAGATTAAGCAAATAGAGGTCATGGAAAAATTGTAATTCACCCTGCTGCACGCCCTTGCAAATGAGACGTTGCACCTCAAGGGATTTTGCAGGTGAAATATCTAAATGCGAGAAAAACAAAACAAAGCGTAAAATACGACTAACCGCAAATAGCCGCGCGACATGCAAGCGAGGCACGGCCGACAAGAACGTTTGCACGGCTGCCTTGGAGTGAAAAAACGCCGGTGTCGCCGCTGCCTGGCCGTGCTGCTGCTGCTGCGCCTGCTTGCGTAGGTTCGTGGCAGGCGTGATCAACCGGGAGCGCATCCCCACCTTCGAGAGGATGCTGTGGCGCGTGTGCCGTGGCAACGTGTTCCTGCGTCAGACCGACATCGACAGTCCCCTGGAGGACCCCTCCACGGTGCCCACGCCGCACGCGGCCCTTTACCCCCCCCCTCCCCCCCCCCCCCCCCGGCTTCACCGTCGTGCCGACACCGCGGCCGCTGTTTGAGGATTCTCACCGTCCCCGCGGTGGGCGCGTGAAGCGCCGTGTTCGGGGCGACGAAGCGGCAGCCGTGTTGGGAGGAAGCCGCTCATCTGGCGTTGCACTTCGCGCTGCCGCGTTAGTTTTTAGCAGAGACCTCTCTTCATGGCAGCTCATTGTTTCGCGTGATAATTCTGACAATTATTAAAAATGTTATTTCTTTAAAGGGTCATATTTGTGACATTGCATACAGAGCTTTGTATTGTAATCGTAGTCATCACCCATGATTGCAGTCGTCGCGAATCATCATCACCGTGCTGTTTAATTACAACCTCGTCGTTACCCATGGACTGTGTGAATTCACACATGAGCCCCGATCACTTTCGAGAAGTTATTGCCCAAGGTCGTTACAAAAAAGGTTGTGCAAGCAAGACGTTGATGCATCATCCTTCCTGGCATTCCAGGGAGTTGATCAACTGAACAAGCTTGTGCTCGCCAATTTATTACATTAAGTGCCATCTAGTTTAATCCATTACGAAAGCCATCGCCTTATGTCGTCCTGACATTTCACCGCATGCAATTTCATGCAGACAGAAGCGGTCCTCAAAAGATCTTTGCCGCTCGCTCCCTTCCCCCCGTTTCCCGGCCAGTCCTCGTGTATCGCTATTGATGTATTGAATTAGACACCGGTATTGCCATGCTTCAACTTGAGCCCCGTGAACAAAGTGGCAACGATGACGATTTGCTAAAAATATTGCACATGTTTGGCATAAGCACCGCATGGCAAAAATAAGTTAAAACGCGTCGTAGAATTTGGTCGGCTGCTCACAGCACCTTAGCATTGATTTATTCCTGTGCATTTGTAGCAACGGCATAAATATACGGCCATTGGAAAAACACAACGCGTATATATATTCAGAAGTTGCGTGGGCTGCCTTGAAAGAGCTATTGTCCAAACATGAGTATCGCGTTTGTTTCGCCGCTTGTACGGTGCCGTTTAGTGATAACGATGGCAATTTCAGTAAATCGCGGCGCTTTGTTTCCTCCATCGAGGCATGCAGCCGCGCGCTCAGATAAAATTGTGCTGATGCCGCGGCGCTGCCTAAATCGTGCCGCGCGCTGTTTCCACCAGGGAGACCAGGTCCACAAGTCCGTCTTCATCATCTTTTTCCAAGGTGACCAGTTAAAGCACCGCGTGAAGAAGATCTGCGAAGGGTGAGCCCTCGCTCGCGCGTCGACGACCGCCGAGTTGCCTCCCTCCCCCAGCTCAATAGGGACGGACCAACGCCGACATTTGCACGTGGCGACGAATCCCGCTGGGGGTGGAGCGGTGGCGGCGGCGCAGTGGCTAGAGCCTTGCGCGACGAGCTTGTGCCGCCTGAGTTTAATTCCCCGCCACGGCTAACATCGGTGGCCGCCAAGTCCACACCCCCTCACCCCTGCCCCACCGCCCCCGTTCACCAGCCCCCACCAACCGGCGTGGTGGTGAAGCAGTATGGTCAAATTGGCACCCGTGACCCGTACGGTGTGGGGAGGCCCGCACACCGCAGGGGATTGACGAGAGCCTCTACCTCATCGTTACTTTTATTTTATACGGCAGCACGTGTCCATCTGGGCTGTGTGCCACTCTGTTTAGAGGACGCGACTCATTATTGGAGGTTTATGAGTTAAAATCCTCGTGTTGGGTTGACTCGGCTAGTAATCGTTCCGAGGGTCAATAAAATGAGATCCTTATTTGTGGGAAGTCGACATTGATTGCCCCTTGGATGGACCGGTTCTCCCCATGGGGATGTGTAATATCCACCGCGGATTTGAATAATACTCGTAACGTATCTACGCAATCGCACGCCTTGCCACGAGCAATTTGACACTCGTGCAATCGTTTAATTTCGCGTGCAACCGCTGAAGGTGAGCGCACGGCTCGGGGTCTCGCAGGCTGGCAAAAAAAATCCATGCCTTTACCTGGAATTCAGCGGTTTCAAATAATGCTGATGACGTGCATTGCGCTAAGAGCCAACGTTGCAGCATTGGAAGGGCACAGCCCGCGATCTTTCAGCAGCATTTTTACTCGTTTTGACAGAATTTATACCCAATGCAGTGAAGCGTTTCCTAAATAGAACGTCGCCCTTCGCTTCCCAACGCACGCTTGGGCCACTCTCATTCGTCGGTGGCATCAACTCGGCGTAACGCCGGAATACGTCCGTGCTCAACACACACGTTCGCGTGCGTGCATGCGGCGCACAATCCATTAGCAACGCGGTACAGAATTCATGTAAACCCCCCCCCCCCCGCTACTGCCGCGTCACCGCCGCCCCACAAAACATTCGAGCCGCCGGCCGCTGCTGCTCGCTGAGCTTTCCACAATCCAGCGGCAGGGCGGGGAACCCCCCTGCCCCGCCCCGCCCCGCCCTGCCCAGCCCCACCCAGCCCTGCCCAGTCCCACCCCGACCTGCCCAGCCCCACCCCACCCTGCCCAGCCCAGCCCCACCCCGCCGCCCCGCCCCACCCCGCCCTGCCCAGCCCAGCCCCATCCCGCCCCCCCCTGCCCCGCCCCGCCCTGCCCAGCCCAGCCCCACCCCGCCCTGCCCCACCCCGCCCTGCCCCACCCTGCCCAGTGTAGAATGCCTGCCGGCTGGATAAGAGGCCTGCGCTGTGTTGTTTGCAGATTCCGTGCGACGCTTTACCCATGCCCAGAGACGCCTCTGGAGAGGAAGGAAATGGAGGCGGGAGTCAATAACCGTATTGATGACCTACAGACGGTACTAAGCTCTGCCACTTTAAATCCATACTCGCACCTCGTGTAGACAACTCGCGTTGTGAGTGTGCGGCTCGTGGGGCTGTAAACCTCTGATGTGCGTGCGTGTTGTGTTGGTGACTTGGGATTGAACTAGTGGAACTTCGCTTCGTTCCAAAGAAATGCTTTGTGTGGCACGATAATTAAATCATGACACTAAGCCTATTATTAGGTTAAGCATCTGTGCAGCAATCTGCTAAGTGTCCTTGACGTCTGTTTTTTGCATCATTAGTGGGAATTAAAGTGGAAAATTACCATTCACATTGCGGGTTTTAAGTGCCAAAGGAAGCTGTGATTCATGGCAAGCCTTGGATCCCTCTACAGTCGGTTGCGCCTCACAGCAAGACCACCCGTCCTGGCCGTGGCACTCAGGCGTGTGGTCGTGAGCACGCATCGCCAAGCCTGTACAGCTTGCGTTACACGGGGAGACGTGTCAAACAGAGAGGGCCCTTGCCTGCAAACATCTGGCCGTTCACCGGCTTTGATTGAAACAGATTCTGCCTCTGCAGGCGAGACGATGAATGTTGAAACCGGTCCACAGTTTAGTTTGTGTCGAGCCGATGAAAAGCTGAACAGCTGAAAACAAAGTAACACTCCCAAAAGGTCGCGTGGCCGCTGATGGGATGTGCAAAAAAAACAAGGTACTTGGATTTTTCACGTGGACGGATGGATATGCGAAGGATTAGTTGCACAGAAGCATGTAGAGAGCATGTAGTGGGGGAGGAGGATAAAGTTGTGTAAGCATTGCATAAATATGAAGGATGATGGTGCGTGAGATTAATGGAGAGTGAAAAGTGAAGTGATTTGAATTCAGAGAAGACTTGTAAGCGTTCGCTCATGTATCTTCTGCACAGGCAGCTGGACAAGCCCCCCTCGGGTGTACAATGACTTGACACTGCTCACGTTTCATTGTCGAATTAATGTTGAGTTAACCCCAAACTGAACTCAAAATAATCATTGAGGATTATAATTAAGAATATAGACGAGCAGCCAAAATGTCTCCTTCGTAATGGCTTCATTGTGTTTGGTGTTACTTCATTGGCAGTGGTGCACAAGCACAATGCACAAAACCACTGCGGCAACGTTCCGGACCACGGCCCTACTTCAGAGGCCACAGAGGTTGAGTGCTTTCTCAGCACGTTTACAAATCCTATCATCGGCATTGATTTGGTGCACGCCAAACTCTGGACTGTTTTCAGCACACAGTGTCTCATCAGCAGTCGGGCTTTCTTGAATCGTGTTGGTGAACTGCCAGATCTTTATACGCAAGGACCCTCTCTCTAAGATATGTGTCCTCCGTTGTACAAAAGACGATACAATACATAGCACAATGTAGTCATTAGCATCGTTGCAGAGAAAATAAATAACAAACGCGTGAATAATATACGTCATCGCATTCGTGTTTTCTGTCCGCAGTTTGTAAAATTGTAGAAATTATGCCGAGAAAATAAATAAATAAATAGATTTAAACTTGACCGAGAGGCGCCGCTGGACCCGGGTGTCTCTGTGCCTCTCCAGGTGCTCAACCAGACGGACGACCACCGTCAGCGCGTGCTGGCCTCGGCCGCACAGAACATCCGCATCTGGTCCATCAGGGTGCGCAAGATGAAGGCCATCTACCACACACTCAACCTGTGCAACATCGACGTCACGCAGAAGTGCCTCATCGCCGAGGTGTGGTGTCCCGTCGGGGACCTGGACTCCATCCAGTTCGCCCTGCGCAGGGGGACGGTACGTCCGGCTCGGCACGCGCGCCCGTGACCCCCCCCCCCTACGCTGCGGCTCGCTCTGCATGCTCACCAGAGGCCCTGTTGGTATTCACCGGGGTGGTGATGGATTCCGGCAGCCAGAAGGTCGCGAGGTTAAATCGTGGTTTGGAGGTTAACTCGGCCCATCATCCCTCCGGGGTCGATAAAATAAGTCTCCACAGTGCTTGTACTGTGGATAGGCTCGCCCCCCATCATGGGAATGAGGAATTTTCACCGCTGGCTCAGGGCTGTAAATGGCAGATGAGCACCGAGGCATCATTTGAAGACCGGGAAATTCAGGAGGGTGCCGCGACCACGTCGGCTCAACCCGGCACTTTGGAATCTCGAGTTGAGACCGGAATGACTGACGGGCAACTGCCATTACGTCGGCAGTCGCGCGGTGACGGTGATGAAAACAAACGTGTCGGTGTATTTCACATATGGCGGGCCTTCAGGACCAATATTACGAGTCATAATTGATTTTTGAGATTGATCGCGTGAGAGCAATATGCGTGTCGGCGATTCTGGCAACTGCCTGTTGATGCTGGCTACCGCTACGAGCACCACGTCCACTCCAAGGTGTTACATGTTGTGAGACCGCTCTCCAGAACAGCTGGTGCTGCTGCTCAATTGGCACGTTTGTTCATCACGAAGACAACTTGATCATTTGGCCAAGTCGGGTGGAGGAGGGTGCGGGGCACACTTTGTACACGCACCATCTGACCCTAAAACTAACCATGAATGTGTCAGTCAAGCAAGGGTAGTTTGAGGATTTGAAAAATATTGTAAGTGGCCGTCGATAAATGTGGACATCCAGCAAGTAATCGCAACCAACCGATAATTGCATTCCATGTGTTTTGGTCTCTGCTTGCCAGCCGGGTCACAGCCCACATGCCCAAGCAGCCTCGTGTTTTGTGAGGGGGATCATTTTTCCCCGTTTTATTGCCGTGTTGCCCATCCTTGTGCTGCACTGTGATTGCGGGTTGTAGAATCACGAGCATCTTACAGTAAAATCGATAGGAACGTGATGTGTGTGACATTGACCTGGCATGTTTGCGATTTGGTCGTTTTCGTTACTATAATTACTCCGCAGGCCAGCTGTGTCAGATCACGCAGAGCTGAGTTGATAGAAGTTGTCTGCTCCTGTCTCAGTGTTCACCTGGGTACGGTTGGTGCCGACCAGTCTGGAGTGATCGTGCCACTTAGTGGACAGACTCATTGGCTTAGCAGTTACTTAGAATAGTGCGTAGTGCCCTCTGTTTATGCACCTACCACGCTGACCCATGATGACGAGATGTGAACTACCTCGCCTGGTATACAGGAGGTCGTGGGTTCAAGCCCTGGACCCTGACACATTTGGAGTTTGCATGTCTCTCCCCGTGGTCGTGTGGAGTTTCTCCAGGTCCTCCAGTGTTTTCCCTCCACATTTAGAATCACGCGTTTAGAGTATTTGGCTGCTATAAATTTCCACACGATTAGTCATTTAGTTGCGCTATCATTTGTGGCCAGGTCGCTTCTGAAAAAGAGCTATATAGCTCAGTCGGCCTTGCCTTGTAAAATAAATAGTTTAGTGTTCTAGTTTAGGCTCCTGCAGCAGGGATGAGGATTCCAGTGTCGGGCTTTACGACGAGCAAGCCAGCTTCAGGGTGACTTTGCCACCTCTGAGCGTGAGCTGCTTTGCTGCTGCTGCTGTTGCGATTATTTTATTCTTGACAATCTTTTTTATTCCAGGAGCAAAGTGGATCGACCGTTCCATCCATTTTGAACCGGATGCAAACCAAACAGACGCCTCCCACCTTCAACCGCACGAACAAGTTCACGGCCGGATTTCAGAACATCGTCGACGCGTACGGCGTGGGGAACTACCGCGAGATCAACCCAGGTGCGTGACGACGACGACTATGATAACGACGACGACGATGACGATGATGACGACGACTATGATGACGACGATGACGACGACGACTATGATGACGACGACGACGATGACACTCGTTTTGTGTTTGAGAGTCGCCCTCCGACACGCCGAGATGTCTCGGAGCGCTTCACATGGCACCTCGTGTCAACGCATTTGAAAGGGGCACCCCCGGTCGTAGCTGTCCCTGTGGGCAAAAGGTGACTCGGCTCCCGGCCAGTAAAGTGGCATGAGTCTTCCGGTGGAGGGGGGCGGTGATCGCCACGCGTATTATATCAGGAGGGTCATTTTTTGCGGGGGGGGGGGGGGGGGGGGGGGGCAATTTTCGAGTTTGCCAAAATTGCCCGACGAGGTCAACCGCTGCTGGCGTGCGCACAGCCGGCCTCTTCGCGCCACGCGGCGAACCCTCGCGCGAATTTAATTGATTGGCAGGTAGTTTGAAGTTCACGTTTGTTTTCTGTAACCTGGCGAGAAGTCAAGAGGCCACGAGAGCGACATTTCCCAGGGTGAGCCGGGTCCCCTGTGCGACAAAAGCAGAAGACATGAAACGGAGCGTACGGCAGTGAAGCCAAGGGGACAGAGCAGAGGCAACCGGATAGACATGGGTAACAACAAACGCGTTACAGACTACGTAGGAAATACTGCTTCCACATCAACAAATATTCATTACATCAAATTATACATGCACGAATATTAATTGCATAAAATTATACATACACGAATATTAATTGCATCAAATTTACCGGAACCGACGGTTTGCTCCGACCAATTTATATATGAACGTAATTGTGCAGAATCCCACGAGAGCCGTAATAAAGGATGCCATCTCCGGTAACGCGAAGCTTGCCTGGCGGGGCAGCGGTGAGTGTGCCGCGGTGAGTGCGCCGCGGTGAGTGCGCCGCGCTCTATACCCCGGTGATCCCAGTTTGATTCCTGGCCAGAGTCACGCACGACTGGCGAGTGATCTCTAAACTGGGCGGAACTGGTCCTGGGTCCCTCTCTGGCCTGCCGCAGTGACCACATCGGTGAAGTATGGTCAAAACGTCTGCCGTGCCCAACAACACGGCGTGGGGAGGCCCTCGTCTGCAGAAGTGGGGCTTGGCAGAGGTTCACAGAGCGCCGTGTTGGAACCACCGCACGCACCGTGACTGCATCCACAGCTGTGCATGCAGCGCTCTCGCCATGTGAAAGGGCACGAGTCTACTTTACTCTGCGGCGGTCTGTGTTTATTCAAGATAGCGAGTGAAGGTGTTAATTAAATCTGTTTGGCAATGTAAAATAAAGCAATCATTATAAAGTGGACACAATCTAGTAATGTATTATTAAACGCTATATTTGGTGCTGGTGCATAATATTCGTGCAGTAAAACGACCAAAGTTTTTCTATACATATATAAACAAGTCTTTTGTTTGTGTACATCAATAATACATTTCATTTTAGTTTATTCACCAACCATAATTGTCCAAGACTGCCAGTGATAACGCTTGCAGAGTAAAGCTTCCTTTTTGGCGACGAAGCATTATGAATCGACGATTAATTTCTTTTCAAGTCAGAAAACGATTAAGTTTTAAATCGTATTAGAATGTTTCCATGTTTGTCTTGGCACTGTGTCCATGTGCCGCTGTTGTGCCTCGCAGGCTGCAGCGCGTAGCCCGGAGCGCGTAGTGAGCGTAGCACGGAGCGAGCGTAGCGCACGTAGTGAGCGTAGTGAGCGTAGCGGGAGAGACGGCACGCACTCTTGCGTCCGTGACACGTGGCCATCGGCTCGTTCCAGCCATGGATCAGCGATGCCCTCCGGCGCCGTAATGTGTTTTGGTTTTGTGGGGACGTGTTTTTGTACAAAAGTCAAGACTTAAAGAAGCTTACCGGAGCACTTTAGTGCCGCATCGTGGGCGATATTAATCACCGTAGCAGCCGTCGTGTTCACGCTTTGAGTGCGTGTTTAATTTTTGCAAATGTGTTCAGAAATATTCTTACATTTTTTATATCTGAACAACAAGAACAGCTTGTAACCGAGTGTAGGCGCTTTACCGACTTGCAGGTTTCAATGAGCAATAACCACCTCGTAGAAATCATCAGCCTTCATCTATCCACTGCCGGATGAAGGCTTCCCCCGAGCCACCGATCTCGCGATGCGACGCTCCATCTCACTCCTGCGCACGTTGTATCTCGCCGCTCCATCTCCGCGGTGGTGGTGGTGGATGACCCCACTGGCACGTTCCATCCTGTGACCGCCGCTCCACTATTTGTGTCGGCCACCGGCCAGCATCCCCTCTAGGGACTCCTCCTGCCCACTTGGGTTTAGCCGTCAGTGAGATGTTCATATTCTTAGGTTTTTTCAGTAAGATGTGCGTCTTGTTTTGCGTGTGCACTCCGATCCACGATTTCCCCATTCTGTCTCTCGCTAATTACAATCGCGCACTTCCCCTTGCTTTTTTCTGCCCTTTTCAGATTTTTTTTTTAATTGTCTTCATCAAATGACACGTAATTTGCAGGTAACGTCTAGGACTCAACACGTTCTCTTTGAATACAATTGGTTTGTTGTTTTCTTGATAATCATAACTAATTCGAGCTACAGGTAACGCATTGTGTTCCACACTCTGCTTGCTTGCGTGTATTTAGTAGTTTGAACAACTGGATGCAATTGAGAGAATTCAATGCAGACATCTTGATTAAAATCAAGGACAGAGTCAAAATAAAAGGGAGGCCTCGATCTCTCCGACGTCTTTGAGGAAGGGCACGGCGCACATGGGGACGGTGGTCAACTGTCGAGAAACGGTTCCTGATCCCAGCGTTGATCACGTGGGGTCGGTTGGCCTCCACATCGTCCATCGCTCTCTTCCCAGTGAGGCTGGCGAGCGATTGTTTGCATGCGACGAGACCCTCGCGTCCCGGGCATTCGTCAAGGCAATTGTCTCTCCCATTGTGGATCTCCTCTCGAGGCCTCTCCCCTCGAGGTCTCTCCTCTCCTTTGTTGAATTTCAAATCAATTTAAGGAATAATTGTTTTGCCTGGCCGGCGTTGGCCCTCTTGATGCGGTGGCGGCGTCTTTAGGCCGGTGAGAGAGCTCAACGTCGCGGCTGTCGGATGATGTTCAGACTGAAGTCATTATCGCTCGGGGTGCGTTGCTGCCAATATTCATCAAATGAATGTTGCACTCTGCTGCAGATGCTCGTGTTATTATCGATTTGTTTTACGGAATGTGTGGTGCGAGCTTTGATGTCACTGTGCCTTGTAGAAGTTCGTTATCCTGCCAGGACACCATTGGAACCTCCTTTGCCAGTAGCAAAATATGATAATTGGTTTTTACCCTTTTATCTGCCACAAAACTGACACCTTTTTTTTTACAAGGAGTCATGTTTGCATTGACAACAATACCTGCGGTCGGAATGCAAACAAAAAACACAACGCCAAAAGGCGTCATCTGGTCCAACACCATGTGAGACTAGGCTCTAAGAAAAGCTGTCTCGGGTGTGGACCAATCAATTTCAAGGACAGTGCATACATGTTTGCATTCCGACTGCAGGTATTGTGGTCAATGCAAACATGACTCCTTGTAACAAAAAAGGTGTCGGTTTTGTTGCCAGATAAAAGGGTAACAAATCAATTATCCTGCCAGGAGTTATGATACAAATGTTATGGAAACTGGGGCAAATGAAAATACAGATTTGTCCTGAGAATTGAAATTGGTGTGTAAGGGACCGTGTTTGTTGTGTGTGTGAAATGTCTGCGCAGTTGTGTAAATATGTGTATATGGGATTATATATATATGTAAAACATAGGCATGTGCAAATTAAAATTCGAAGCTTTAGATTTTTATCCATTTCACGCTAAGCAAGTGTTGATTTACCCATTAATTTCTCAAGAGCCGGTTACACTTTGTACTTTTTAATGCAACAAGAGAATTGCCTTCTAATCTGAACCTTGCGGTGTAAGGCCCTCGCGTGTTTGCCTGGCTTTCCCCGATCGGCGGGCAGAGAGTGCCGCACGGTGTAAAGAACACACGCGCACGTCGCTCCAAACGTCCGCGGCTCCTGCGCCAGATCGAAGCCGCGTCTCCGTTAAGAAGACAGATGCGCTTGCTGAGCGAGCACTCGGGATGTCTAACGTACAGTCGGGATGTGTAATGTACAGCGCGTGTGCTGGGTTCTCGTGTCCACATGCTGCACCACAATGAGTTTCTGCGCTGAGCAAAGTATCGTTGCTGGTTTTGTCTATATTTATGCATTAGTTGTTCTCATTTACAATTGTAAGTCACATGATATGTCATTTATTGATGTTTGGGGTTGTATTGTAAACTGGATGTGGTTCATTTTGCTTACTTTTCAAATATTTGCTGATGCGCAGCTGCACATTCTTTCCACATCTGACATGGGCTGTCTGTACAGTAATATCTTTGTCCAGCCGACTTGTGGGCTCAGGGCTTGTAGCAGAGATTCTCCTTTCAATCCAGCAAGCCACCAGTGAAGAAGCCAGTCTCAGCCGGTCTCGGCCCACTTACCGACTCCTGCTCAAACATCCCACGGTGTTAATTTAGACATGTCATGGAATTTGGCAAAATTCCAGCCCGAAGAATTATTCTCTTTGTAGGCAGTTCTGTGATATCCCCATCTGCGGGTCGTTCTCGAACACGACGTGATACATTGCCGCGTGAGAGTTTTGAATAATAGACACTGCCTCGCGACACGATGTATGTGCAATAAAACTGGGGACGTTGGTTAGGGTTACCAGCCATATTGCATCTGTTGACAATATTCTCCTCTGGAAAGGCTCTGCATTGAACATCTGTGTTTGCCCCTTGACGAGACACCGAATGGCGACACCGGTCCAGAGCTTGCTTGCGTTGCACCAATGCCGCTCTGCTAGGAAGAAGGCCTCGCGGCCGATGCGACGTGGATGTGAAGGAGGCATTTTGTCCGCTTGGCAACATTGCGACTGATATTGTGCACGCCGCCGCCGCCGTTGACCCGTTGGTGTTGTGTGTCCGCAGCCCCGTACACCGTCATCACCTTCCCCTTCCTGTTCGCCGTCATGTTCGGCGACTGGGGCCACGGGACGCTCATAACGGCGTTTGCTCTGTGGATGGTGATTCGCGAGAGCCGCCTCATGGCGCAGCGCATCGAGAGCGAGGTGACTGCGTGCCGGCACACCCCCCAACTCCCCCCCCCCCCCCCCGCACTGCGCGTGCCGGTCATTGCTCTCTTGGCCGTTTCGCTTCCGGGCGAGACGTCGGTTACGTGTCGGGCGCACCGCTCATGGACGTCGTCGTCGCCCTCGTCGTCGTGTTCGGTTTCTGTGACCCGTGCACGACTCTCCGGTTCCCCGCAGTATTTACGACGAGGTGTCTCGCTGCCTGTCGATGTGCGTGGTTGTTGAACGAACGCGTTTGTGTTGTCAACATCAAAGCTCCGCCCTTTTCGGCTGTCGTCAGAGAGGGCACGGAAAGGGGGCGGCTGTGAAAGCGGCAGGTTTCTCCCCGGGAATCTTAGAATGCACGTGCTCTGGAGCAGGAGATGTTGTCCGAAACGTTGCCTTTTATTTCATTTTACCCCTTTTATCATTATTACGATTATTTGTTGAAGGCTGTGCATCCCAACGAGATTCACATTAGAATGTGATGTTTTCTCCTTGCATCAAAAAGTACACAATGTAATGGGTTCTTGAAAGATTAAGGGATAAATCGACACATGGCGAGTACGGCACGGATCCTAATCTATTGCTTCTAGTCCTGGCGACGTTTCCCCATCAACTAACTTGTGGTAGAATTGTTTTAGTTTGGCTAATTTTAACCATTTTATGCCAGCACACAGTGTCCTTCAGTGCTGTTTGTCTTAGAGGGCCACACAGTGTCGTTATTTACGAATGTGTAAATTTTTTCCAGTTTTTTTTTTTGTGCCTGTGCACCACCGCCAGCGTGTGGCAGCCGCAACGTCATCAAAAATGTTGTCCACAGTTTACGATGCGGAGGTCGTCCCGTCGCCTTATCTGTGCTCCCCGCCTCCTCGGCAGATCTGGAACACGTTCTTCGCCGGGCGCTACATCATCCTGCTCATGGGGCTCTTCTCCATCTACACGGGCCTCATCTACAACGACTGCTTCTCCAAGTCGCTGGACCTGTTCGGATCCTCCTGGAGTCCCCGTGCCATGTTCACCTCCAAGAACTGGACGTGCGTGCTTCCCTCTTCTCTCTAGGGGCAGACATTCACATCGGTGTCCGGAGATGGCAGCTCGCACGCTTCCCCTCGTCGTGACCTTTCGTCATTCGTGGCGGTGACGAAGCCCAGTTGTGGCGCGTTCGCCGCACGTTGTGGACGTCTGTGTTTTGAAACTGGCGGGCCGCCCTGATTAATACTGCGGGCTAGTAATAGCCGTCTGCTCCTACAGTGGACTTGAGAGATCACGTGACGTCGTTCGGATAGAGTTGGCCATTGTGTGCGGGCGTCATGGTCCGCATTGTCGAACTTTGATAATTACCTGGAAATGACTCGATTTGGACCGCACGTGGCAACGTTGCTACCCACTGCGAAACTACTGAACACTGCGTCTGTGAAAGACGGCACTTGTGTGTTAAACGTTGCGCTGTCAGAATGACGTGAGCGCCACATGTACTGAACAACGGACGTAACGGTCGCTAGGCGACGCCCATCCCACTTGCGCTGTGTGACGTCAGGGAGGAAGGAGCCAATCACAACCAGCCAATCGGAACACGGGTGCTTGTTTTGGAAAATACAATTCTTATTAATCTTTTTAGTTAAAGAAATATTCTGATCCCTATCGTCCTATTGGCTGAAATTGTAACCGTATATTAGAGAGGTGTTTTATAGAAATCACTGTCTGTTAAACAATGCATTCCCAGAGTCTTACAGAGTAGATTTCCGATCAAGTGCATTATTTTGTTAAATGGGCACTTTGCTTTGTGCAGTTTGGTATGAAGCGTGACGGGCGGTGTTCGTGAGCAGCTGGCAATGTTTACTCCGCTCTATGTCGAATTGCAGGATTGCGGATCTAAAGGGCAACTCCATCCTGCAGCTCGACCCAGCTGTCCCCAACGTGTTTGGCGGTCCTTATCCATTCGGGATCGACCCCGTGAGTACTTAACATTCCTCCACCAAAGCTGCAGCATTTCCATTACGTTGCATAATTGAGCAGTTTGTATGCCAATTAAACTGCCGCCCGCTATACCTCCGGCCTCCTGACCTTGACGAGTGCTGTTTCTCGCCACGGATTTCCTGCCATTTTCAAGCTTTTCTAGTGACTACGTAAGCCGAGCCGTGGTTGGTCACGGTTGGGTGCGTGAACTTTGCGCGCGTCCATCGCCGTGGCCGGGGGGCGGCCGTAGTTTCGCGGCGTTCTTGTCTCCGCGCTAATTGGATTTTTGACGATTGCCCGCGGTTCTTGCAGATCTGGAACATCGCATCCAATCGCCTCACCTTTCTCAACTCGTACAAGATGAAGATGTCGGTTACCCTGGGCATCATCCACATGGTGTTCGGAGTCGTCCTGAGCCTCTTCAACCACATGTACGCGCGTGCCTTGCTCTCGTCAACACGCCGAGCTCGAATTAATGAATGTCCCGCGCGTTGCTTTGGTTGGAATATTCTTACGCTCACGTAATCACGATCTCGTGCGAACATGGGAATGTTATTGTGCCACTGTGCGTAATAAACACACCCATCATCACACTAATCAGAAACCGCTATTTCGTAAACTACCATTCGTATGCTCAATCTGTAATGTGATTCATTTCCCAATCACGTGATTGGCTGCTAGACTGCCGGTTTATTTTTGGGCGATTTGTTCAACGTACATTGAGCCGGCGAACATGCCCTAATCCGGCCTGGTGGATTGGAGGGTGGACAAGTGGTTCACGGAGGGTTGCAAGATCACAACCTGGTGAGGGGTTGCCTTGGCCCATCATCACTCCAGGATGGATCAAATAGGTACCACTTTGTGGGGAAGTCCACACTGGTTATCCTCTGGATAGACGAGCCCCCTGCCATAGGAATATGGAATATGCACCGCTGGCTCTGCAGCCTCCAGGCTCATTCGAGCAGCGGGAACTCACTTTGACTTGGATTGTCCGTCAGCTGTTCGCAGTTTTATCGCGAGGTGTATGGCGGGTGAAATGCGTGTGTTTTAACTGTGGCTTCCTTCCCAAATGCCCTTGATAGTTACTTCCAGAAGAAGTGGAACATCTACCTGCAGTTCATCCCAGAGATGATCTTCATGCTGTCGCTCTTTGGCTACCTGGTCATTCTCATCTTCTACAAGTGGTGCAACTATACGGTGCACGAGTCCAAGCATGCGCCCAGCCTGCTCATTGCCTTCATCAACATGTTCCTCTTCACATACAGCGACTCAGGCCCTAATATCTACACGGGACAGGTCAGCACGCTCTCTGCGCCTGCTCGGGCTGTTTGAATGTTTTCAGGAGGGGAGTAGGCGCGTCGCCCGGCGTCGCCCGGCGCGGCGGTGCTCGCCCCGTGCCCGCCGCGTGGCGCTGGTGCTCGCCCCTTGGCGCTGGTGCTCGCCCCTTGGCGCTGGTGCCCGCCCCTTGGCGCTGGTGCTCGCCCCGTGGCGGCGGGAGGTGGTCCGCCCAACTGTGGCAGATTCGATTTTAGTTTTCAAAGCGCCGCGTTTTCTCCTGCGTGGCGGGCCGCGGCGTTTTTCACCAAAGGGTTGGCGGGGGCTTGCGAGTCCAGAAAGGTCGGGCACCCAACGGCCTCGAGCCCGTGACCAATGTCCCGGAATGTTCCCTCCCGGTTGGGTGACATCTCGGAAGCTCCTAAGCAGGCGTTGAGCGTGGACTGTGCTTGGATGGGTAACCACCATTCACAACAGGCGTTGTAGGCCGCCGCCGCCGCCGACCTACGTGGCGGGTAGAGGAGTGCGGCAAGGTAGATTGTGCAACTGGACTTCCGCGCTCCCACAAGGTCTGCGCTCCCCGTCTTCACCAACCCCCGCTCCTGGCCAGCGTGGTGAAGTATGGTCAAATAATCCCTCACGGCCCCGGGGGGAGAACTTCATCCCGCTGTGGTTTGTCAAATGGGCTCTCTCCACACGTGCACTTGCGTTGACCGACAGAATACATTGGCAGACTTTGTTTGGACCAACAAAGTTTTTACGCGTTGAATTTTTGCATTTTCTCAACTCTCTTGTCATTAGAAGTATCCACATACATCTGTAGTTGGAAATAATGGCAGTTTTTTTCGATAACACCTCGTGAGAAGGTTACTGTTTGTCGTTTATAAATCACTTCATCGTTGTCGAAGAAAAATACTCTTCAGTTGTCCCTGTGATTGTCGCTCTTGTCAACAGCAGATTCACAATCCGGTGGTGTGTGTGGGTGTGTGTGGGTTTGTGTGAGGGTGGTGTGTGTGTGAGTGTGTGAGAGGGTGGTGTGTGTGAGTGTGTGAGAGGGTGGTGTGTGTGTCTGTGTGAGGGTGGTGTGTGCGTGTGAGAGGGTGGTGTGTGTGAGTGTGTGAGAGGGTGGTGTGTGTGTCTTGTGAGGGTGGTGTGTGTGTGTGTGAGAGGGTGGTGTGTGTGTGTGTGAGAGGGTGGTGTGTGTGTGAGAGGGTGGTGTGTGTGTGTGTGAGAGGGCGGTGTGTGTGTGTGTGAGAGGGCGGTGTGTGTGTGAGAGGGTGGTGTGTGTGTGTGTGTGAGAGGGTGGTGTATGTGTGTGTGTGAGAGGGCGGTGTGTGTGTGAGAGGGTGGTGTGTGTGTGTGTGTGAGAGGGCGGTGTGTGTGTGTGAGGGCGGTGTGTGTGTGTGAGGGCGGTGTGTGTGTGTGTGTGAGAGGGTGGTGTGTGTGTGTGTGTGTGAGAGGGTGGTGTGTGTGTGTGTGAGAGAGGGTGGTGTGTGTGTGTGTGAGGGTGGTGTGTGTGTGTGAGAGGGTGGTGTGTGTGTGTGTGTGAGGGTGGTGTGTGTGTGTGAGAGGGTGGTGTGTGTGTGTGTGAGAGGGTGGTGTGTGTGTGTGTGTGAGAGGGTGGTGTGTGTGTGTGTGTGAGAGGGCGGTGTGTGTGTGAGAGAGTGTGTGAGGGTGGTGTGTGTGTGTGGGTGTGTGTGTGTGTGAGGGTGGTGTGTGTGTGTGTGAGAGGGTGATGTGTGTGTGAGGGTGGTGTGTGTGTGAGGGTGGTGTGTGTGTGTGTGTGAGGGTGGTGTGTGTGTGTGAGGGTGGTGTGTGTGTGTGTGTGTGTGAGGGTGGTGTGTGTGTGTGTGTGAGGGTGGTGTGTGTGTGTGAGGGTGGTGTGTGTGTGAGAGGGCGGTGTGTGTGTGTGAGGGCGTGTGTGTGTGTGAGGGCGGTGTGTGTGTGTGTGTGAGAGGGCGGTGTGTGTGTGTGTGTGAGAGGGTGGTGTGTGTGTGTGTGAGAGGGTGGTGTGTGTGTGTGTGTGAGAGGGTGGTGTGTGTGTGTGTGTGAGGGTGGTGTGTGTGTGTGAGAGGGTGGTGTGTGTGTGTGTGAGAGGGTGGTGTGTGTGTGTGTGTGTGAGAGGGTGGTGTGTGTGTGTGTGTGTGAGGGTGGTGTGTGTGTGTGTGTGAGAGGGCGGTGTGTGTGTGAGAGAGTGTGTGAGGGTGGTGTGTGTGTGGGTGTGTGTGTGTGAGGGTGGTGTGTGTGTGTGAGAGGGTGATGTGTGTGTGAGGGTGGTGTGTGTGTGTGTGAGGGTGGTGTGTGTGTGTGTGTGAGGGTGGTGTGTGTGTGTGTGTGTGAGGGTGGTGTGTGTGTGTGTGTGTGAGGGCGGTGTGTGTGTGTGTGTGAGAGGGCGGTGTGTGTGTGAGAGGGTGGTGTGTTTGTGTGTGTGTGAGGGTGGTTGTGTGTGTGTGTGTGTGAGGGTGGTGTGTGTGTGTGTGAGGGCGGTGTGTGTGTGAGAGGGTGGTGTGTGTGTGTGTGAGAGGGTGGTGTGTGTGTGTGTGTGTGAGGGTGGTGTGTGTGTGTGAGAGGGTGGTATGTGTGTGTGTGAGAGGGTGGTGTGTGTGTGTGTGTGAGAGGGTGGTGTGTGTGTGTGTGAGGGTGGTGTGTGTGTGTGTGTGAGAGGGTGGTGTGTGTGTGTGTGTGAGAGGGCGGTGTGTGTGTGTGTGAGAGAGTGTGTGAGGGTGGTGTGTGTGTGTGGGTGTGTGTGTGAGGGTGGTGTGTGTGTGTGAGTGTGTGTGAATGAGAGGGCGGTGCCGTGTGTGTGTGTGTGAGTGAGAGGGCAGTGTGTGTGTGTGGTGTGTGTGTGGTGTGTGTGTGTGAGTATGTAAGTGAGAGGGCGGTGTGTGTGTGTGTGTGAGTGTGTGTGAATGAGAGGGCGGTGCCGTGTGTGAGTGTGTGAGTGTGTGTGTGAATGAGAGGGCGGTGCCGTGTGTGTGTGAGTGAGAGGGCAGTGTGTGCATGCCAAGCTTTCAATGGGTATCCATTGGTGTACGTACTGGGGGGGGGGGGGGGGTTTGGTTTGGCAGTAATCGTGAATCGTTTGTATATCTGATGAATGTGATGCTCGATGAGCACCTTTCCACGATTACAAGCAACTTGTTTTTACACATTCTGTCCGCAGTATCGGGTAGTTTCAGCGCGAGGCGATGTTGACAGGGCATGTCTGGCCCGGGCACCTTCCCAGGGCGAGTGACCAACCTCACGGCAATATACTTCTATGGATTTGTCCCATCTCTGTTAACGATCGTGGTATCACGTTACTTTTGAGGTAATGGTTTTTAGAATGATTGATGCTACTTTTTACAAACGCGGTTATAATCCGCGTTGGTGTGGCCGCTCTCTCTGCAGACAGTGGCCACGCGACGGCTGCAACCGATTGCCACACGAATGGTGCTCACGTATTCCATATTTTGTTTACGTAGCTGCCGCTGAATTATATTGTCAGTTTTATTTGTATTTATTACCGTTGCTCGTAATATTTGCGCCGTGTTTTCCACAAGGCCTCGTTAGCGGAAGATAAATATAGTATTTTGATAGGTTTGTGTGGTTGCAATTAGGGCACTGATTGATTGATGGAACATTCGTCAATTTATAATCGTCAGTGTTGCTTGTTTAATGTGCAAAGAATAACATGAAATCCCACGCAATCATGAACTTTTATGACAAATTTGAAGTCGTTTGCCACAATCTACGACATTGGTGAAATTCGGTGGCACAAACGGCGCTCGTTTGCCCGAGTTGAAGCGCACCTGGGAGCCCTCGCCGTCGCCAGAGATTGAAAGCGAGCGGCTCCTGCCACCGCTGACGAGCGTTGTCTGCGTGCAGCGAGGGCTGCAGTCCTTCCTGGTGGTGCTGGCGCTGCTGTGTGTGCCCGTGCTGCTGGCGGGCAAGCCGCTTGTGCTGTGGTACGAGGACCGGAGGCGCCGTCACCTGGTGAGACTGCGGCCTCGGCACGCAGGCCCGTCTTCTCCAGACCACGCCGCCGGGGCTCCTTCTGCCCCTGCTTCTGCCACCGCTGCCTCTGCTGTGCGATTCCTGAATCGTCGCACCTCAGCGCAAAATGTCGTCGAGCGGAGGTCGGCGTTGTCGTTGGCCGCGCGAGGTCGTTACTCGTCGTTAGCGAGCTGTTGCGGGAGGATGAGGGAGGATGGCCTTAAATTGCAATCTCCAGCTGGGTTGCCGGGCGCCTGCGCCAATTTTAATGCCGCAAGCACAAATTCCCATTTAATGATCTTCTAAACAACCCGTGCACATCTGTTTGTGCGCGTGCCTCGTTCCTGCAATTTCAATTTTTTTTATTTTAATGGGAATAATATGCAGATTTTTCACACTTTCAAATTGTGCCCTTTTCTGCTTTTATATATTTTGTATGGATAAAGAGGCGTATGGGAGCCATGTACAGAATTTCATTTTAATTGCATTTTCTTTTTCCACACCCATGTAATTATCATATTTTGACATTTTAGCTATTTATCAATACTTAGCCAGGATGCACGTGATCAATATGACGCGTGTATTTATGTACGTCGAACTTCTTTCGCACCGTACCTAGCCAACCGCGCTCATCTCAGAATACCACAAGACACCGAAAACAGAGCTGGGCAGCATGCACATCGTTCCATAAATTATGGAAAATACCAACCAGGGTGGCAAATCAAACGTGATTGCCGGCTCGACTCGTTTGAATTCTGGACAATTTATGCCATTAACGACGCAGCCGCTCTGCTACATTGTCACGTGTCACTAAATAGTTGTGGGCAAGACGAGCAAGGTGCAGTCAACACCGTGCACCGTACCGGCACGCGTTGGCCGTGCGCGCTCAGCCAGGCGCTCGTGCCTCCCGTTGGGGCCGCGTGCGTCCAAGTGTCGCCGTGGCCACGAGGGGGAGGCCGCGCTGGGCCCCGGCGGCCGTCACGGCCCGCGTGCGACTGCGCCCGCTCGCGCCGCTCACCGCGTGCTTTCTCTCGGCGCGCGTGCCGTCGCAGGGAACCACGAATTTCGCCGGCGTGCGCGTGGGAAACGGGCCCACAGAGGAGGACGCGGGCATCATTGACCACGACCAGCTGTCCAACCGCTCGGACGAGGAGGAGCCGGTAAGACCGCCGCCCCCCTCCGCGTCCCCCCTGTTGCCGAGCCGACCGGCTCACACCCCCCCCCCCCGCTCCCTGGAGCGCGGTGCCCTTGCCCACGCTCGCAAAACCCAGCGAGGGCAGCGGAAGCAGCTTTGTTTCCATCGCGCTGCCAGTTGCAGCAAGGACGAGAAGTAGATTAATGCCTCGCCCCGTTGCCGTGTATATATATTAAGGGCCGTATGACCCGAGCCGTACGCTCGCTCATGCAAATGCCCCCCCGGGTCATTTTGCACAAAATTCTTGATCATGTGCCCCATTGCGAGCTTTCCACAGAACCCCGGCGGCCGGAGGAGATGCTGTATTAATCCCCAGCGATGTGCCACATGCTTTGCGACAGTCTCGGGGATTTGCCGGAGTAGAGCATGACAGCAGCATGTGAGCCTTCTCACGCGGTCGCCTGTGTCATGTTCTTCAAGAAGAGCGAGGGTGGTGGTAGTGGTGGCGGCTGCCACAGTCGCGTTGTGCTGCAGGGAATTGTACGCCTTGACACTCGTGGAATTCTTTTTTAGTTTTTAAGCCCCGCGCGCATCGTAAGAAACGTGACCTTTCGGCAATACCAGCTGCGGATTATGATTTTTCTGCAAGCAGTTTTGTGTTTTGCTGTGTGGTTGGTTGGTTGGCGTTCCTGGCTGTAGTGATTGCATGGCCGCGCCACTCTCAGCCGGGTTGCCGAAGTAATATCGCCTCTGCGTGGGAGCATTCTTAAACGGAGTTAATTGAAACCGTTTAACCGACGCCGCAGCGCACGGTGATGGCACGGCAGTGTCCCACGTCATAACACGGAGCTCGACGCTTTCTACAATGCAATAAATATTCAGCGATGTACATTTTGAGGCAAATATCTTTTGACACGTACATATCTGTAAATTAATGTTCCTCACGGTGGCACGATTGCCGCTCTTTTCCCATGAATGAGAGCACGAGAAACGCCTCGCACAAAGGTGACGTCTGACAATCACGAGGGTTGACTCTCTTTATACTTTCTTTGGCCTTGTCGCTAATTAACCGATGTTTTTTGTTGTCGTCCACTTCGCGTCTGACAATGGAACGTAACGTTTTTAAGCCTGCGGAGAAGGAGCCGCCGGTGAGTTGGTTTGGTGCAGCTCCCCCCCCCCCGCACGCCCCCTCCGCACGCTTCGCTTTCCGCGTGTAACATCGACGTGTGCGCGTGCTTTTCGCAAGTCGTCGCGTGGCGTCCCGTCGCGGTTGAGATTCTGTCTTGACGCTGCGCGCGTCGCGGGCCATCGACACCCCGTAGATCACGTGCAGGGACCCTAATGGCGGTCGTGTGGGAAACGGTGGGGTGGCGGGTGGGGTGGCGGGTGGGGTGGCGGGTGGGGTGGCGGGTGGGGTAGCGGGTGGGGCTTCGGGTGGGAAGGAATTGAACCTCGTTGTGATTTCAGACATTCCACGTTTAACTCCAGCTGTTCCACTCCCGCGACACGTCTGCGTGGGCAAAACCGCATGCAAATGTGCGGCGTTCACGGGGACAGACAGCCCCTCCTCCTCCTCCCCCCACTGCCCTCCCTGCCTCCCCACCACCCCACGGTCACGATGTTGTCGAGGTTCAGGCGGCGCTGCTTCTCTTCGCTTCCCCCCCTTTGCCTCTCACAAATGCAATCTTTGATGATTTCGTAACCCGTGATCTCTGATTTTTGGTGGTGGAGGTTTGCACTTAACAACAAAACGTCGAATCATTAAATTACTGGTTTAATCATAAAGTGTAATTGCTCGGTATGTTTTAGATTTGATGTGGTTTATATTTTGCACACGTTGTGATAGATAGGATCGCATTTGGAGCTACTCTGTGATAATACGCTGGCAATATTTGAAGGATATTAAAGGAAAATCCCAGCGTTTCTTTACCAAGCAGAGGATTGGGGCAGCGTTCATCTGCGTTGCCCACCTTGTAAGCCAAACGTGTAAATTCCACGTGTGTGTGAGTGACAGCTGATCCATAGGGTGACACCATTCACTTTCCACGCAGTATTACTGAATTTAATGATCTAGCAGTATGACGAGCTGAGTATATCTCAAACTGGATTTTGAACTTGTAACATTCCAATTGTGAGTAAAACATTCAGCGGTATCTAGTATATATATAGTTCCCGTATCATGAAACAGAACGCCTACGTAGCCCCGCACAGCGGGACTGGCGCTGCCGCGAAACCGCGTGACGTGGAAGGTCGGGTCGTGTGTTCCCGCAGTTTGACTTTGGGGACGTGTTTGTGCACCAAGCCATCCACACCATCGAGTACTGCCTGGGCTGCATCTCCAACACGGCCTCCTACCTACGCCTCTGGGCCCTCAGCCTGGCCCACGCCCGTGAGTTCACTCCCCCCCCCAACCCCCCCCCCGCTCTCTCGCCCCTTTGTCGTTGTAACAATCCACGACGGTCCCGACTTCCTGCATCTCGTCCTGAGGATCCATGATGCAGTCGCGAGTGGATCGTCGCTAATCGAAGCGCCGCTCAATTTGGCTGTGAGGATTGTTCTGCGGCTCCACGGGTCGGGCGAGCTGCAGCGTTCGTGAATTGTCGCGGCGCTACGCGCCCGCACGCCGTGAGTGGCCACCTCGGCGGTTTCCCCCTGTCGGGTGGTGGAGGGGCTTTATGACACAAAATTTAGACCAGTCATTCACGTGGCCTAACTGCGACAGCGTCCACGATCTTAATGTTGGCTGCTAAAACCTTCGTGCTCAATAAAACACATTTCTGCTGCTGCCAATAAGATATGCGACCCTCCGCCGCGCAGCAGAGCCAATCACGTTGTCGCGTCGTGGGTAAATATGCCAATTGATTTTGGTTTTTCAGCGAAACCAGAGGATTGTTAAAAAGCAAAGCGGCATTTTGACGATTTTATACGACGTGAAATTGTCAAAATGTCGCTTTTCAATGTTCCTCCTCCTGCATTTCGCTTACAAATTACGAATGCATTGGCATGTTCACCCACGATGTGACGACTTGATTTGATTTGCTCTGTCGAGTCACCGTTAACGATGTACATTGTACCCCCGCGACGATGTAACGTGAAGAGCGATGAATAATTAATGAACATCGGGCGTGAAAGGCCTCCGTATGAAAATGTATAAACACTGTGCGTGAAAATAGAGAGCAGCGGGCTGCCGTGGTGGCCCTCTGGACAATTTTCACTCAACTCCACGACACATTACCCTGGAGAAACACACGGTTATTTTCATAACAGTACTTCGCGAGCGTGAACGGGGACAACAAACCTACGCTATTTTATAGGCAACATTCAGCACGAAGCGGTTTTTAAGCCTCCTCCACCACTTTTCCGAGATGCGCACCCCCAGCCACCGCGCACTGACGGAGCTCTCCGTGCCTGCCTCTCGACAGCAGCTGTCACACACACGGGGATTCGCATGCGAATATAAATGAGCTAATCAGCAATCGTGCCGCATTGATAACTTAGACGGAACGTAATCGAATCGGACGACGTTTTTTTTTTGAAGATCAAAAATCAAAGGGATATCGTGCCCAAAATGAGCATCGAGGCGTCATCAGTTCTCATCTTCCCTTTACAGCCCCGAGCCAGAGCAAGACATTCCACATTCGTATGGCCGGGGCGAGTCTATCCATGAGGACTACCACCGCCACAAAGTGGTCCTCATTTCATTGATCACAGAGAGATAATGGGCTGACCCAATCCCCATCCAGGGTTCGAACTCGCAACCTTCCGTTTGCGAACCGCTCGCTCTATTGCTGAGCCACTTGGCTGGAAGATGTAAAACCTTTCAGAGCGCGATCGCCATACATATATTTTGCCATAGCATCCAGCAAAACAACAACAACTTAATCTATACATTTCAATTGCACTCTTTGCAGGTTGTTTCTGCTACCACAGAGGCACTGAGTTTTCCTGGAAGCTGACAGTTGTTATTTTTAAGCATTTCAGGTTCATCGGTTCCCTCCTATGCAGCATCATTGCATTTAATCACACGCCAGTTTTTGAAAGCCTTCCATTAGCTCGCAGCCACGGCGACACGCTGGTAATTAATGAGGCTATCGCAGCTGCCTGCAGCAATTGTTTTGAGGCAGAATGTGCAAATTGCATTTCCTGCTTTGCCAATCTATCTGTGTCTGCACGGCCGGTGAGTGTGCCGCAGCCTAATGAGGAGATCGCATCTACGCGCACTTCATTAGGGGCTCATCTGTATTTCATTTGCATTTGTCTCGCGATTCGGTGAAAATGAAAATTCCACGCATGGGTGTAGCGCGCGCGCGCGCGCGCTCGCAGACGGCTGTAACTGGAGCCACTGTAACGGTGTAAATCTGTGTTGAGCGCATCGCCGTGCGAGCGGTGGTAAATAACGGCCGTCCCGGCGCTGACCTGCATGTAAAATGAGCCGGCGGTGTATCCATTACCGGGCGCTCGCGGACCGGAGGGCCGCGATCCGGTGGCCAAGTGGAGCGTGAGTGAAAGCGGTTATGGAGGGGATACCAATTTTATTGCGGCGTGATGGGAGCCGGCCTCGCCATCATAATAACCCGCCGCTCGTTCACGGGCGCGAGCCCCGGCGGCGGGAGAAACGTCCGCCGCTCGGCAATTCCCCACGCTGCCGTGGTGCAATATCGGTGCCCATCAGTGTGGACAGCGGCTTCACGCGGCAGGCTGCTGCTGCTGCTTGCGCGCAAGGCAATAATAGCCTGGAGCTGGGATGGATGCGTCTCCCGTGCGGGAGACTGGCAGAGATGGTTTTTGACGTTGTGGAAACTCGTACGCTCGGCTCCTGTGTTCACAGTCGAGCGTGTATTGCTTTCATCGAATCAAAATAACGGTATCAAACAGCAGGCGGTGGAATGCTGTGACCTCGTCATTAGTTAGATTAATTATATCTGCTGTTTTTTGCTTTTTACTCATTACGCTATTAACAGTGCCCGTACGCTGACGATAAGAAATTCATCACGTGTGGCAATGATGTAACAAGTGAACAAATTAAGCAAAAGCACGTGCCTCTTTCTGACACGAAAGCACGAATCGAATTGAATGTCCACATTTTAGCGGTACCCTACGGCATGACCTTTGAACCCCCCCGAGTGTTTTTGACAACGCCCTCAGCCCTCCCAGTCATCCATCACGTCTGGCTTCAGCCATCGGCATCCTGCAACAAGGCGGTGCGCACATTCATCACGACCCCGTGCATTGGCCAGAAACAAAATGACGCCTCTCCTCCCAGCGGCACTAAAGCACTCTCGCTCGGCTACAATTCTGAACTGGAAACGACCCAATTTGGCCATTCCTCCTCCACCTTCGAGCCATCTGTTCACCTCTCAAGGTCCTTTCTGATGGGTTCTCTAACTACTTTAGCAAGCAAGTGTGGGTGCTGGTCATTTTTTTAAATATAAAATAGTTTCTTGTTATTTTCTAGCTCCATTGGCGTCCCATTTCTCTTTTTGTTCTTGCCACTATCGCTGCCAAAGAGCTGCCCACGTAGTTGCGATTGCATTTTGTTATATTAATTACGTTTGGTTGAAAGCGGTTGGGTTTCTTTCCAGTTTTCTGTAACGTGTTAGTCGTCAGACGTTCTCCATTTTGAGGATGTGACACATGACGAAGGAGCGCTTTGTCTAGAATGTGAGTGTCAATTTGTCAAACTGAAATAGGTGTCCCGTTAACCAGCGAATGATAACATTTGAACGGCTTTGAAATACCGTGACACGTCGAGTTATTTGCAAGTGCGGATTGTGAATAATTCTTTTGATAAATACATAAAGAATGCTGGTATCATTTTAGCGATTTTTACTGCCGCTGGAAATGGCAAACGCGTCGCCACAAATCTGAGGTGGAGGAAGGATTTGAAATGCACAGGCCATTGGGCGCAGGCACTCGCCACCAATGAGATGCATGCCACTGGCCGGGAGCCAGATCATCATCGTGCATGCTGGCTCATTTAAAGCTGCTGCGTCAAATTTTTGATTTTTAATTACGTTTCTAAATTATATATTTTTTTTGTTAACATTTTTTGCCTTGTAATGGAGACTGATGGTCTCATTGGGCTATGGCCTGCTCATATAAATGCACGCACACGTATAATGGTCGTCGTCGTCGTAATTAGCCACGGTCTCTCCACTGCTGGATGAAGGCTGCTCCGAGCCTGGGCCGTCTCTCGCAGTGCTAGTTGCCCTGGCACCTCGCACACCAGCTGATCCCATCGCTCCATCTCCACGCTTGACGTTCTCTCGGGCACGATCCACCCCACGTGTATTTCATGGTTCATTAACGTCCGCCATCACTCGTGTGGACAAGCAAACCTCTTCACACTATCATTAATATCATTACTATCAGAACTGTGATATTTCGGCACACTTTCTTTTTTTATAACTCTGCTGGTGATAGCCGCATTGCTGCATAATCTTGCATACCCAACGTGCGTGACTAAGCGGTTACAGCCCAGGTAGTTTTTTTTTTAATGCTTTTGTTCCGGAAGTCTTAAAATATATATACAGTGTCCAAGGCCCTTGGTTAATCTTCCCCTTAGAATTGCAAAGATGAGTGTGATGGGAATTTTTTTCTCAAATGAATGCCTGCATGAGGCGTGTGGGGCCGCACGAGGTGTGTGTGTGTGTGATACTGTATAGATTTGGAGATGACTTGCAGCAGTGTCATCTTATAAAATGGAATCAGGAGCAGGGTTATTGGGTCGCAATGCGCTGATGATTCACTGATTAACCTCGTTCCTGCCGAGCAGCTTCTAGTCATTCTCCTGGGGTTGCCATTCAAGTGGGAAGAAAAAAAAATCTAATTTAATTTCCTGTTGTCCAGCCGACTTTCTTAATTGTTAACAAAATGTAGCACTTTATTTTATTATTTTGATCGTTCTTTTATCGCGATTTAAGTGAATGATTTTTCGCGTAATTTAACGGAGGGAAGGTGTCTAATGTAATTTTGCCGTTGCTCTCATGACGGAGCGGAGACGTTGAATGCACGGGGGGATCGGAAAGGTCACATGTCTAAAGAGATTGGTGGCGGCCAGGGCATCGTCGCAGGCCGGCACCCTGACAGGGACGCGGGGAAACACGGAGACTGTTACCACGGCTGGGCTTTTATTAGGAAGCCACCGGAGCCAAGCACTCTTACATCTAAATTGAAAACTCGTCTTTAGAACAGCTGTCGGTGTTTTGTTTGTTGTCCTCCGATTAGCGCGGTTGGCTCCCTACCTTGCGAAAGAAGTTCAACGTACACACGTACATACACATGTACGTGCACATGTACGTACATACACATGTACGTGCACATGTACGTACATACACATGTACGTGCACACGTACATACATACACATGTACGTGCACACGTACGTACAT